AATAGAAATAATAGAAATAATAGAAATAATAGAAATAATAGAAATAATATAACTAATATAACTAATAGAAATAATATAACTAATATAACTAATAGAAATAACAGAATAATAGAAATAATAGACTCGATAGACTTGATTATTCTTGAGGTCCGGCTTGAGTCCCGTGTTGAGGCCACGAACGTGGGATCTGCTTCTCGATAAACTCCGCCGGCGGTGGCTGCGAAGTGAATCTCGCGTCGCCGTCGGCACTGCCGCTGCCGCTCTTAAGCTGGAGCATTAGAGCGATGAGGCGGCGCACGAACCGCGTCACGTTATCCTCCTGGTTGATGATGTACGGGCCAAACTGGTGCATCACCAAGAACCCGTCAACGCTAGGCAGTTCCTTGGGCGGTGTTGGTTCCCGCAGCGCACGGGACCGGGTCACGCGGCCTGACGAGGGCGGCAGCGGCAGCGGCTTTGAGAGAAGTTTAGTCAATTTCAAGCTCTCGGTTTCTATGCCGGCCCGTTCCAACTGGCTCACGTACGCGCCTGATCCGGCAGCCGCTCGGGCATTAGCTTCCACGTCAAAGTCAGCGCCGGCGCCGGCTTGCGTCGCGCAGGCCAAGAGTGAAGCCCGACCGGTAATGTACTCCTCATACTCTGACCCGTACTCTCCAATGATAATGTACACTTCGTGCCTGTCCTGTGATATGAGGAGGCGCCTCTTTCTGCCGCTCGCAGACGACTGCAAAAGACCATCAGTGCTGCCACAGCACTGTGCGATCCAAGATGCCATCTCCGCTGTTTCCTGGCGCTGTGTGTCTTCAATCTTGTTCGACCGGACGTATCGCTTTGTTTCGCAAATGGCGAGCGGATTTGGGCAGAAATTGTGGTTCGAGTCTCGGCAACAGAGATATCCATCAACTTGAGCCGTCATCAATTCTTGGGTGGCGCGCGAAGTGCCTACGCCAGCGGACGCTTTGAGCTTGAGAGGCAGACGCCGAGGAACCCAGTTCAAATTCCCGAGGAAGGAAATAGACTCAGAAATTGCTGCCTGCAACATGAGCAACAAGGAGACATTGGCATATATTTCATCCACCGAGGAGGGATTGCCCTGCGACTGTAACCCCATCTGGTAGGAAACTGCGACGGGTGTGCCAAATACTGGATCGGGGCGTCGCGAAGATGGAGGAGGGGTGGATATGTGGAGGTTCCGAAGCCGCTGTGTGGCAGAATCTTCTCCGGAAAAGGCGAATTTGGCCTTGTGACCTTTCTTGAGAATGTTGGACTTTGGCTTCTCCGTGTCCGAATCGGGCTTTTCTTTCGTGTGCCAGTAGGTAAGAGTCTGCCAAAGACGCACAGTAGCCCAAATGCCGCTGTCTGGATGTGGGGTTAAGCCGTCGAAATCATTTTTGGCTCCCTTCAGTTCTTTGCAGTAGTGTTGGAAGTAACTAGTCCGGTTCTCGTGGATTTGAGAAGCGCGTTTGTCATTATCCTCGGATATATACCCTTGATAGCCTGTTTTGGGGTTATCCCGCATCAAATGATCGAAATCATCCATGCCGCCATCATGTATTTCCCAAAAGGATCGAAGGTGCAGAAATTCAGCCTGGCGAATTGTAGAGCCAGACTGATAGTCGGTGTTGGCAACATGAAGTCGCTGGTGGCCGTCCTTTACGGTTTGTTCAATATCATCTTCGCTTTGGACAGCGTCGAGCCAGGCCCTGACAGTTTCGGGTATCATACTTCGTGAGGTGTTGATTGAAATGAAATCGGCTCAAGTAAGAAAAGAAGAGATGGATGTTGTGGATGGTAAGAAGAGAAGAGATTGACCAGACCTGCCACTATGTACCAGTACAGAGAAAAGGCACACCATGCCACGTCCACGAGCTTTATTAGCGCCAGGAACCCTGTAGAGAGCTGGTTCGCGACCCGATGCGCCTTGCTTTGGACAAAGGACCTACACTTTCCGTCCAGCGGCAAGGATGCGCTGGCGAAAACGCCACCATCACGAGGATAATCCACAAATTGCTGTAGGTTGGCCCCTGATTTTGTAGAAATAGCATGTTGTATGGGTAAATGATTGGATATAAACTAACGAGACTGAAAAAAGCTATTTTGAGACGTCGCTGGATTTTATCATGCAGACAGCGCCGTGCGTTGAGGTCAGCTGGAGACCACCATGATGGAGGGTGGCAGACTTGCTCTCGCATGGCTGTTTCCCTCTGCGTTGTCTAAAGCGCGTGGATATCTGGTCTCGCCGACTGGTGTGCATGCCATCCAACGAATTGTTAGCCAAGCGTCAGCCCCGGGCCGGGCGCCAGACAGGTCAAGGAGGCGGGACTGGCGCAACATGAGTTTGTTCTGCTTGCTGTCAAAGTGGGCCTGTGTGAAGCGGGCTTTTTGGTCGCGGAAGAGGGTCGTGATGAGGATGGGCTTTGTATGGTGATTGATGAAGAAGCCGTGTTTCAGCTGGTACTGGCTCATACATATTGATGCCGCCACCTCGGACCGCAGCAGCACGTCACTTGTAATATTTTCGCCTGAATCCAGCATTAAACAGGCTGCATGTGGCCGGTCCGTGTCGAGTTTGGCCAGATACCCCCAGTGGCCAGAGTATTCGTGATACGGAAACATTTTCCGTCTGTGGAATGAGCGACAAGGGAGGCGAAGTCCGGCACGCTCCAGAAGATCGCAATATCCGCTACTGGCGGGTTAGTATGGGTTTAGCAGCAGCGAAAGCAAACGACAGAAAGCAAAGGCTTACGTATAAATGTCCCAGATTTCGGGATCGACGTTGTTCAGCTGAGAGAGGCGTGCGCTCAGCCATTTCGCTCGACACTTCTGAAAATGCAAATTGCAGGTCTGGTGTAGATCCAAATGATCCATCCGCATCCAGAAATCGCACGTGGACCATGCTTCATATTCCAACCAGTCCTGCGGCCAGTCAAAGGGCATGAAGAACCTGGTATGGAACTCGTTCGGTAACAACGACGCCCAGTTATCCACGTCGAGCATTGGGCCGCGTATTATCGACAGTTTTTCGAGGTCATTGATGTCAATTTCAGGAAGATCATGCAGTGCGTCCAGTGTCTTGAGCATGTCCACCAGTTTGTCGCGCTGTATCTTCTCGAGCGTGGCGCGTCGAATCTTTTCGGTGGCCGTAGCGTCAGCAGACGAGCCGTCGAAAGTACAACAATGCATTGCTGCAGTTGGTATGGCAGTGGTATAGTATGACTCGGTAGAATGATGGCTAATGACGTTTGTCGTTGGTGTCGATAAGGTGGTGGGTGTTTAAGGGCGTGGAGAAGTGTTGTTGAAAAACACCACGCTTTTGTTGTTGATACCACTCATTAGGTAGGTACCTAGGTACAGTGGCTTGGTATCGTCAGAGCAACGCACTACAAATCAAGGCCTCAAGTGATGACAGACGGCCCGGAAGCCGGAAGAACAATCTCCCATTACCCAGTATATCTAGTATATATTCGTACCATACAACCAGATAGAACTTACACAATACAACAACTTTACCTCTTACTCTATATATACTCTATTAGTCTTAATATTAAGGTCTTAAGTATTTCCTATAAATAATAATCAATATAGTAAATATCTAATTAAATAATTATAAGGTTATATATAGTACTATAATACTAGTCTTAAATACTTATAAAATACTACTATAAGTAATATTAAGAAGCTAATAGTAAGTAATATTAAAAGCTTCCTAGAATAGAAAAGCTAACTTTTCTAATAAGTAATTTCTACTAATTTATATCTATATAATATAAAAAGTAAACTATTAAAAACTATAACCTAATAATAAAGACTTTTATCTATATATACTTAAAAGCCTTTATAGTATAGTAGTTCTATGTTAAGGAGTGTTGTATAGGTTAGTATATAGGTGCTAGTTCGAATCTAGCTAGAGGTACCTTTTCCCTTCTTTGTGTTTTTTCTCCCCTTCTTTCCCTCCTAAAAGTCAAGCGCGGTAATTTAGGCCTATAAGCAACTTATAAAGGGGGGGGTAAGGCTAAGGTAAGGCAAAAAGAGTAGGTTAAGATAACCATAAGAGGGTATAAGGCTTATTAGGGAGTATAACTAACCACTATACTACCTAGCTATTAAGGGTATTAATATTAAATATATATAAATACTATAATAAAGGTATTAATAAGGTTAAAGAAATAATAAGTATAAAAGTATTAATTTCTATATATACTAAATATAATAATATTATTAAAGAGAGAAGAGGTTTTTCCCCTAGCTAGTTAGGTTTTTTCTACTTCTAAATAAATATAGAGGTATTAAAAAGGTAAAAAATAGCTTAATTAGTATATTTAAATTTATTTTTTATATATACTTAAAATATTAAATATTATAAGTAATAGTAGAATATTAAGACTTAGCTAAGTAATTATTACTTAGAAAAAAATAACTAGATATATAATAATAATATTAAATTAAAAAATAGTGAGTTTAAAAAAATTGGTTGATTTCTCTTTCTCACACAACCAGCCCAAAATTCCCCTCCGGGTCGTGATCCAGCCCGCCACGCGACGGGGGAGAGTTCTCTGCAGAGTGAAACCTCCCTCAAGGGTCATCTCCAGTGCTGAGGGCCGCGGACAGAGTAAACTGCCTGTGTACCGGCGGTCGCAGGTTGCCCATGCGAGCGGGCGGCCACCGCAGCGTTCGGGCTGGGCGCCAACAGAAGGGGATCTGACGGTGTTTGGTGCGGTCGCAAAACGAGAAAAGTACGAGAAGTTTCCCAGTTGAGCCATTACAGCCGAAAAAAGAGCCAGCTATTTTGTGCTATATACCTATGCTGCCCCACTTGGGCTCTGCGACAACTCCCCACACCAACTGTCCTACTACCACAGCTTCAAACAACATCTTTCAAATCTGTCTTCCCCTGCAAGCCATGATGGATTGTTTACTAAATCCCGCCTTAAATATCTGACGGAGCCGCCGCCACCATGCTCACCACACCACCGCGCCTCCAAATCCGGCGCCCCTCGCCCACCACGACTGAGTTCACCGTCACCACGCAGCCCCCGTCCACGCTCGCCCTGCGCCTCCTCCGAATCCTGCTGCTGCTCCTGCGCGTCGGCCTCGCCCTCGCCACCATTCTCCTCGTCGAGGCGCGCTGGTCCGGCTCGCCGCTCGCCAGCCCCCCGCCCGCGCACCCGCTGACCCTCCCGCCCGACCTGCTCACCGCCGACACGCTGTTCTGGGCGCGCGACGTGCTGCACCGCCACGCCGCCGGCCAGGGCCTCGCGCGCGTCGCTGCCGCCGTGCCACTTCCGCTGCTGCTCCCCGCCGCCGCACTCGCGCTGCGGCTGCTTTCGCGGCGCGTCCACGCGGCCGAGAGCCTTCTCGTGATGCGCGGGCTCGGCGTGCAGACGCGGGAGAGTGCCCCGGGGTACTTTGCGCGTGCCGCCACGCGCTTCATCCCGACGGAGAAGATCCGGGATATTCTCGTCAACGAGGCGTTTCGCGGCTTCGAGGTCCGCTATTACCTCGTGGTGGTTGTCGACGGCGAGGAGGACTTGGTGGTGGTGTTTCCCGGGCTGCTGCCGCCGAGGCGCATCGTCGAGGCCGTCTGGCGCGGCGCGAGGGAGTGTCTGTATGAGAAGAGGGATGAAAAGACGCCGATTTTGTAATTGGGAGTTGGGAGGGAACTGTATACAGATTATGACGACTACGACTCTTTATAATTACGCAGCTCACGCCAGCCAGCCGTAATGCTTAATACCAACACAAGCGACAACACACTTCTTTACCCAAGCACCTTGTTCTCTATATTCTACCCACTGTCTGTGATAATTCACGCAGCTCACACAAGTAGATACAAAACGCCTTTTATATAATGCCTTCTCCATCTCTATATCCTACTCATCACCTTGCATGACGACATCTTTGCCCTCCTTCCACCTTGCGCGCATATCTGCCGCGTCCACGAACCCCTTGCGCCGCGCATATTTATCGTTCAGCTCATCCGGCGACTCGAGCACATCTCTTTTCTCAATCGGCACATACTTGCCCGCCGGCCGGCCCGTGTTGCCGCCGTCGTACAAGCGCACGCTCAGCGCCGCCTTTTTATTCGACATTGGCTTCTTCTCCATCGTCTTCTGCGCCTCTGCATCTTCGCCCGCCGCCTGCTTCGCCATGCTCTGCAGCAGCTGCCCGGACAGTAGCTCGTCCATCTTGTGGCCGCGCCAGACGCGCCACATGCCATCGAGCGTGCCAAACGGGCCAAACGAGCCAGCGCGCATCCTCGACGGCGTTTCCGCGCCGGCGCGGATCCAATGCATCGTGTCCACGTGCGTGTTTTGCGGGGTCACCGCGTCATCCGCTTGCGTCAGATCCGGGAAGAGGCAGTCCCACAGCACCAGTGGCACCTCGTCAGCCATGGTGTAGCCGGGCTTGCGCGGGTACTTGTTCACGTCGAGCAGCTCGCTCACGATGGACGGCTTCTCGAGGCGCAGTCCAACAAGGAAGAGCACGGCGACCATGTGACGGATCTGATGCCAGAGAAACGCCGACCCGCGCACGTGAAAGTAGTAGACCTTGGGGAAGGAGCTGGTGCCGACAAGGGCAGAGGGCGCGAAGCCGGCGGCGGTGACGTAGGGCAGCGCGCTGGCGGCGTCGCGCACCTCGACAATGTCCGACTCGAAAATGGTGCGGGACCAGTTGGTGATGAGCTTGGCGGGGTCGATCTTGCATAGGTTGCGAAAGTCTTGGTCACCCTCGAAGCGCTTAGCCGCGTCACGCATCGCGTCAATGTCCAGCCACCCCGGGTGGGTGGTGCCGGTGCCAGTTCCGTAAGAGGGTTCGGGGGAAAAGACAGGCTGGGTAAAGAAGTAGCGGTACTGGCGCTCGCGACAGGAGAAGCGCGCGGAAAAGTTGGGGGGTGGCGAGGGACACCAGGCTAGGATTCTAATGTCGGGCGGCAGCAGTCGGTTGAGGACCATGGGATAGGGTATCTCGTCTGCAATGGGGTCAAACGGCTTCTCCTCTTCTTCTGGTTCTTGCTGCTCCGTGTCCTGTCCTGCTGCGCCCTCTACCGTCGGCTTGGGCTCCTTGGGCAGCGGCCTGTTACTCCGCACGCGAATGCTAATGACCTGCCCAAAGGCGCTGACTCCCTTGTCTGTACGCCCACACTTTGAGTACTCGCAAATGTTAAAATCAACAATCTTTTCGTTTTCTGGAAAGATGAGGCACGCTTTTGTCAGGGCAATCCACAACTCCTCCTCGATGCTGGGCTGGTGGCCCTCGGCCTGGAACTCGAAGCCGCCGTAATTCTTGCCGAGATAGGCCAGCTTCAGGGCGATGAAGCGGGTAGAATACTTTGAGGGGTCCATCTTGCGCCTGACCTTCGGCCTTGTCGTGCCAGGGGTTGATGCCCCCGCTGGATCGCCATGCGTTGGCTCGGGCTCTGGTGCCGCCGGTCTCCTTTGCAGCTCAGCCTCTAGCTGCCGGACTCTCTCGACAAGACCGAGTTTGGTCCAACTGTTGTAGTTGGCGGGATCCATCTTCTTTCGCGACTTCGCTCTGGCGCTGAGATATGCGGTTGGTGGGGTGGTTGAAAAGCTTGCGACGGGCCACTGCGTGCCCGTGACTCGAGCGATGGCTTCAGCGCAGCAACACGGCCTCTTTGCCCAAAAAAACAGCCTCATAAAATCATGGAAATAATATTCAAGAACCGTCGGTTCTTTTTTAGCAGGCCCCAGAGTCTAAAACTGGGGCTCGCTGTCGTGTGAGTGTTGACTTGGGTGTCGAAGTTGGAAGTTGATGTTGAGTGGTCCAAGTTTTTTAAGTTAGCGTGTTATCAGCGGCTGGCAGCTGGCCCTTATCTCTCGGCAGGCCGTTTGGACGGCAGGAGGTCAGACCCTGCACAATGCTCCAAATATGGCCTTCGAAGGAGACACAGTCAAGATCCTGCTAGTGGGTGACGAACAATGCGGCAAGACGACATTTTTATCGTATGTATTTCTTATATCTAGGAGCTACACTGTGGGTGAGTGCATGTGACTGACAGCCGAGATAGGCGGCTCAGCGCGGGGGAGAATGTGAATCCAATCCCGCTACTGCGCGACATTGACCAGCCCTTCATTTTCAACGTCAACTTGTCTGCGCGAAAATACCAACTAGAGTTCCAGGACACGTCGAGCCCGGAAAACTGGCGGCTGCTGGATCCGGACGTCGTGGTTATATGTTATGACATTAGCCAGCGGTTGAGTCTGCTCAACATGAAGCGCTACGTGAGGAGTCCGAACTTTTGGCAGCAATTGCAGGTTGCAGAGCAGGATACGCTAATGGCCGATATAGTGGATTGACGAAGTTAAGGGGGCTTTCCCTCGCATCGACGGCGTGCCGATTGTCGTTCTGGGCTTGAAGCGTGATCTGCGGTCTGAGACGGACCCCAACGGCGTCATCTACCCGCAAGAAGCCTATCAGATGGCGCAGAGCCTGCGAGCTGATCGCTATGTAGAGTGCTCGGCTTCGACGGGTGAACTGATCAAGCTCGCATTTGAAGATATATGTGCAACGGCGGTCAAGACGACAACAGCCGAAGGAGGCCAGACCGAGGGTGGCTGTGTCATATTGTGACATGCAGCAGGGCAGGTGCCGACTTGGTCTGCTTTCTAGATGCAAGGATTCAAGAGGTTGTTTCTGCGGTGTCTTGCATGGACGTGTCGGCGTCAGGCGCCTCCTCTGGCTCGTCGAACTGGCCGAGGACCTCGGAGGTAATAGTGACGAGGTCCTCCTGCTCTGTCTCGGTGTATCGGTCGCCCATGTCTTCAAGAACAGTGTTGAGAGCGGCGACGGACGCAGGCCGCAGGTTAAGAATCATGACGACCTCGCCCTTGGACAGCTCAAAGGGCTGCAGGCGTTGGATGAGCGTCTTGATGCACGACGGCGTGTAGGTGAGAGGCGTCTGGCTGAGGGGACTAGGCGCGGTACGGAGGTACTGGAGCAGCTGGGCCAAGTTAGAGGGGGGGTGGATATCTTGTTCATGCAGAATCAACTTACTTCACGAGCAACCGTTTCCATGTTGGGAGGACCACGACGCTTGGTCTTCTTGTAGAGGTCCTTTTGGTGCGCCACGTGCTGGTAGACCTCAAAGTTGGAGAGGACGGCGGCCTGAGCCTCGATAATCTTCATCGTGGCGATGCTATAAGTGGTTGATGCGGTGTGAGAGTTGTAACTATTTTAATGTGGCAGACAAACTCGATTGTCAACAATGCAGACAAACTCGATTGTCAAGAATGCGTTGTCGATTGGCATCAAGTTCTGGGTTGAAGCTTGCCCAACTTTTTTTCTTTTTTTACGGCAGAAAACGAGTTCTAGCTGTCCGGCCAGCCCAATCACCGCCTGCGTACGTAATACAGTGAGTGCTGGACTGACTACAGGGGGCTAGCGCTCTGGAGACAGGGCCTACAGGAAGGCTGTTGGCGTCCTCTAGCGCTGGATGGCACCCGGAGACGCTAACCGCCATCGCACTATGAAAGAAATTGTCAACAAGGATACCTACTTTACCTACCTACCTGGTATGAATGGGATTGACATCAAAGTACCATTGCTCTAGTTTCTAGGCTTTTATGGTCTATCTGCACTGCACACTTGGTACTTACCTAGTCACATGGGCCACCCAGCTGCTGCAAGATGACCACGCAATCTGCACGCAATCTGCACGCCAAGAATCTGTGTCTTTGTCACTGCTACTGAGTGACTTGTCTTGATAGGTAGGTACCTAGGTAGTTATTATGTGCTCTGCTTTTATCCAACGAGTAAGTCACATATCTTTGTATAATCTACTTACTTTGAATCAGCGTTTCCGAAATGTTCCATGCACTCACTATTTCTGTAACCCGCCTATAGCCGTTGCGTCGAGAGCGCAAACAAATACATGACGAAATATATCGATTGACGTGCAGTCTGCTATCAATATATTATTCCATTCAAGACCTTTTGCCACCGTCAAAAAGCCCTCCTTTGCTCATCGAGCAGTTGGCAAGGAACCTCTGTAGCATCCATGCAGCTGCCAACAGCCAATGACGTTGAATTCAAAGCACGTATAATGCAGTCACCAGTTTTACCCCACCAAAGGAACCACGCAGCCGCCTTTTTTTTCCTTTCTCTTTCCCTCTTTTTAACTAGCTTTTTATTCCTTTTTTTTGGTCCTCTAACTTGCAGTGGAGAGGCGGGGGACGGAAGGTGCACCGCACACACGCCAAAAACCTTGACTCAGGCCTCTTGTCCCGCCTTTCGGCCCTCCAAACTTTTTTTCATCTTTTCCATCCATCACGATGCTGCTGTAACAATCACCCTCCATCTTTTCTACGCCTCCTGCCATCCCGCTGTGCCTGCTGGTCTTGACCACGCTTGCCAGTTGTCGAGATCTCCTTCACCCTTCTTCCGTTTTCTTTCCCTGCTGTCATTGCCGCTCGCGCGTCTGGTCCATTCTGGTCCGCAATCGGTGCGACGGAGTCCAAGAAAAAAAAAAGGCTGTCCCTCGGCATACCCCAATTACTCGCCGCTGGACTTCGTGATCGACTCCCCGCACTGTTCTTCTCTATTTTCCCTCATTCGAAAAGGAAAGAACAAGATTGAAAGGCTTTGGCTTTTCTACCTCAATTCCTCCCAGTGCCCCCATCCATCATCTAGCAAACGAAGACGACCTGCAGGCTGATTGCGCCCTCGTACAGCCATGGTCCGCAACATTGTCCTCCTCGGAGGCAATTCCCACCCCGAGCTTACTGACAGCATTGCCAATATTCTCTGCATCCCTCCCGGCGACCGCATCCTCGGCAAGTTCTCCGGCGGTGAGAGCCGCTGCGAGATTAAGGACTCGGTCCGTGGCAAGGATGTGTACATTGTCCAGTCCGGCTCCGGCCACGTCAATGACCACCTCATTGACCTCTGCATCATGATCTCAGCCTGCAAGACGGGCTCTGCCAAACGCGTCACCGCCGTCGTCCCTCTGTTTCCCTACTCTCGCCAACCTGATTGGCCCTACAACAAGGCCGGTGCCCCCCTCTCCCGCTCCCTCGAGAACGGTGCGAAGCAAGACTACACTTTTGAAAGCGTGCCCGCAACGCCGCGACCCGGCGGGCCCAAAAGCAGCGGCCTCAATAATGGCGTCAACAGTCTCGCCGAGAAGCTTGCCAAGAACAGCATCTCGCAGGACAAGTCTGACAATGCCGACCACTTCACACCCGCCAAGCGCGCCGACAGCGCCGCCAGCCTGACGTCACACGCCCGCGGACATACCGCCGAGGGCTCCGTCTCCTCCCAGCGCAGCTTCACCACCCACGACTACAATACACCCACCAACGTCCCTGCCTTCCATGTCAAGCCAGGCTATAAGCAGTGGGTGGCTCAGGCCGGCACACTCGTCGCCGACCTTCTCACCTGCGCCGGCGCCGATCACATCATCACCATGGATCTCCACGATCCCCAATACCAGGGGTTCTTTGACATTCCCGTCGACAATCTCTACGGGAAGCCCCTGCTGCAAAATTACATCCGCCAGCACATCCCCGGCTATAAGGAAGCCGTAGTTGTCTCGCCGGATGCCGGCGGTGCCAAGCGTGCCACCGCCATTGCCGACAGTCTCGATATGGACTTCGCCCTCATCCACAAGGTAACATGAACCGCTGCTGTTTGCCGCGATCCACACTCACATCCTGCCGTAGGAACGCCGTCCGATCAAGTTCACCGAGCAGCGCAACGCCAGCATGATGCTCGTTGGCGACGTGGCAAACCGCATCTGCATTCTCGTCGACGACTTGGGTGACACGGCCAACACCATCACCCGCGCCGCCAAGCTGCTCAAGCGCGAAGGCGCCATCAAGGTCTACGCCCTACTGACCCATGGTGTCTTTAGCGGTGATGCCATTGCCCGCATCAACGCCTCGGCCATTGACAAGGTCCTTGTCACCAATTCGGTGCCCCAGACTGAGCACTGCCGTCTCTGCCCCAAGCTCGAGGTCATTGACATTAGCGCCGTGTTTGCCGAGGCCATCCGCCGTGTCCACCACGGCGAGTCCATTAGTGTCTTGTTCCAGCACGACTAGGCGCCGCACGCAGAGTCGAATTCGATACCATTTAGAGTCCAACGCATTGTTCTTTGATTTTCTACTATTTTATGCACCTTTGGCATCCTTTTCTTTTATCCAAGGCCGTTTTTTCCGCAAGGTTTGTTTGAAGAATCTGACAGTTTCCATGACGAAACACCAAAAAAAACTACAGGGCGACGTACGCTGAGCAAACAGGGGGATGCGTAATGATAAAAGCAGCCCAGGGGACAGGGAAAGAAAAACTTGGTTGTTTTTCTCCTCGCGGCAGTAAATGTGGCTGCACACAATCTTTTTTACTATTTTGTCTTTTTTGACGGCAGATTTTACAAAGAGATTTTCTTCCCAACTGTCCCCCCAATAGGGACGTGACACTAGAATTGTAAAACCATACACAAAAAGGACAAGCACCGCAATGGGACACGATATAGAAGTCAGAGATGTTCTCCTTCATTACGTGTGTCTGTCCTGTGCTGCGTCCAGCTGACTATTTAGACGGCCAGACTGATACAGTGCATCGTTTACCTATCATGACGAAGACAAATAGACACATAACGAGAAATAAATGATAATAGTAAGAAAATCGATTATACAAGAAGTATAACCACTGGGGAAATCGTGAGCAAATGAGCAGTCAATTCACACCATCTTCGGTCATGCAGCCCATCTTCACCAACTCGGCGCCGCAATAAGCGCAAAATCAGGAGGCACTCCCCATTGATGCGTCTGCGCGAGCCGCTTAAACGCCTCCACCGCCTCGGCGACGCCGTAATCCTGCCCCAGCGCGGCCTCGTCGATGCGCGCGGGCCGCTCCGGCTCGCCGAGGGCGGCGTGGACCTGGAGCAGGACATTATCAATGTGCACCACCGGGTTCCAGCCCGAGGTGGTCAGGAGCTCGAGGCAGACGGCGCCGCCCGCGGTGACGTGGCCGCCGCCGCCGCGCGCAAAGGGGACCATCTGCGGTCGGATGACGCGCACAAAGGGCGGCGTCATGGGGTAGTTGGGGCCGAAGCGGCACTCGAGGACGACGCTCGGGCAGCCCAGCCGCTGCATGTCGCCGGCGAGGGGGAGCGTCGGATCAAAGTGGAAGAGCTCGACGATCCACTGAAACATGTTGTCCGACTTGTCTGTGTGCACGTAGTAGCCGGCGGAGAGGTCGCCCAGCGTCGTCTGCCGGTGGTGCAGGTCCCTGAGGTCCATTGTGAGCCGCCGGACTGCTTGCTTCGAGGTGGATGCCCAGATTGGGGCGCCGAGAAGGCGGAGCGATTTCATATTGAGGTTTTCAGGGTCAAACGTCAGTGGATTGCGCGTCTGGTCTGGCTTTGCTAGGTTTCTAGTGGGAAGTAACTCAAGACTGAGTTTGTGGCGCTTGCTAAAGGACTGGGGGCATCGGGAAGAATCAGAGCCTTCGGACCCCCGTCGTTTCGCCGTAGAGGAATGGAGACCATCTTCAACGCCTTCAGCACCCAGATACAGTTGCACGTCATCGACATCATAGTGAAAATTGGACGGCGCGATGCTCTCCGTGGAAGAAGCCGCCTTTGCCGCCTTTGCTGCAGCTGTTGGTGTTTGGGGCGGCTCTCTCGCCTGCAAAGCGCGTCGATCAAATGGAATAGCCACAATAGGTATTTCGATAACCTGTGAGCAACTTCTTATGGATGCATTGGCATCTTGCAACACGTATGCAGGTGTCTCGTGGCTCTTCTGTTCGTAACATGCAAATGTCATGGCTCTTGAGGACGGCCTTGTCGACACGAGTAGATAACGGCATTGGATCCAGTCCAGATTACTGACGACGTAATGCGGCGACCGGCTAACAAACTCAGAAGGACAATTGATCAACTCGCATACAGCAATGGCAGAGCTTATTTGAAGCTCCGACTTGGCCCAGCAATCTCGCTGTGAACCGATCAGCACCGATGCCCGTGTTGACGCTTAACATGTTAGAAGTAATGTAGAAAGACTTACCGCATAACACAGTTGACTTGTAGTCCACATGCGAGCACAGTAGGACATGCTAGTGCCCATTTCACTGCTAAAATACACGCCATCACCGCTTGCCCGACCATTTTCCGTGACGGAAAAGTCAAGCCCTGTTCGGATGATGCTGTGCCAGTTCTTCAACCGGCTTCCATGCCAGGCAAATATCGTGGGAGTCTTCGTCACTTGCAGCAGTTGGGTCGCTTTCTGCTCAAACCTTTGCTCCCTCTCCGGCGCGCCTTGGACAAATCGAAACTGCATCCACGTCTCGTTAGCCGTCTCTGCGCTTTCAGTCTTCCCTGGGAGGCTGGTTTTGTTCCGGGAGGTCACGGGAGGTAAACCACGGGATATTTCCGGGTCTGTCACAACATAGTCGTCTTGCACAAGTAATGACCGATTGGAAGCCACAGTCCAGTTCAAAACTGCCAACTCGGATGCATTGAGCCGGCTCCAACTCGCCAACCGCCTACCAGGTTGGGCCACCAAATAGTCTCGCATGTCAAGGACTGAGGGTATCCCGTCCAGAATGTTGAGCAGTGCAAGACTTCGCTCCTTGTCACCGAACTTGTCAATATTTTGCCAATACCCAAACAAATGCACTCCGTGCCAGTTGCCTCCCTTAAGCAAGGCGATAGGAAGGTCATAATGTGGCGGGCTCGTGGTGCATCCTGCTGCTGAACGGTCGACATGGTAGCACTCGAATGTCCACTCTCCACCGACGAATGCTGTAAGTTGACACCACGATTTTACAACCACGCCTGGGAATAACGCAGATGGCGCTTCAGCCTCTCGATAAATAATCACAAGGCGGTCACCAGGGCGTAAGATCTCGTTGATAGGTTTTTCGGTATGTCCATCCAGCAGTCTAGAAAAGTCAAGGTCCCGAATTATCCTTGCCTTCATGTCTGCGACTGCGGTGACGTAGCCTCGCTGAGCCTCCTGGCTGTTAACATACGCAGCTTTAATACTGAGTCCATCAGGGAGCTCGCGACAAGAATTTTGTGACAGCGCGGTGTAAAAAAAGCAGATTAGCATGTCCACGACGTATGGAGAAGTGATAATCTCGTGCTCAATGCTTGATCCCAGGCCGAGTGACAAGTACTGAAACAAGCAAAGCGATTTGGAGCAAACATATGGTTTTACAGCTGAGGATCCTTGATCCAGGCATGAGTTGCATACCATGCAGTAGCGCGTGCAATTTGCGAGTCGATGAAGGGCGAACTGCATGGCAACAAGCGGTAGGCTAAAAGATTCTGCACTGTCCAATGCGCCGTCCTGGGAGATTAAGCCTTCGAGGCTCTGCCAGGGTACGTGATCGACCTGTGACTTCAGAAACTCGACATCAATACCTTGGTCGACGCTGTTTTGCGCGGTGGACAGCAGTTGAATGGTTGACATAATATGCTGGACATGGGGCCAAAAAGTCCTGTGCATCCTCCTGGCCCGAAGCAAGCCGATGAAATCAGAGTTGAGTAGCTTCTCCAGTGAGCTGGACATTCTTATGAGCTCGAATGGAAGCTTGGCATTCTCAACGACGATGTTCCCGATGTCGTTGTCTTTTGAGGAGTATTTTGTATCGCGGTAGGCAGACTGGATAGAGGCCGCGGAGGGTTTCTCGCCCTGGCATCTCCCGAAACGAAACTGCAGAACGTTTTGACGGCTTGAATACCGGAGCAAGTCGTCAAGATTCGGGTATTCTGAGGTAATTTTTATAAGCAATACTAGGTTGTCGGTTTGTTTGAGACCCCAGGATTCCAGAATGCTGGGAGCGACGCCAAGGCACGTTGCTGGGGCAGAGAGAGAGATGACTTCGGGAGAGTTGTCTTCAAGACGTGGGTATATGCCGACAATTATTCCTGCGCTTTGAGCTTTTCGCAAAGAGGTCCTCAGGTTAGCCAGTGCCTGCGGACTTAGCGGCCGGACAACGTCCATTAGGTCGGACATTCGTTCATGGTCGCCATTGTCGCTAGAGGTTTCCATTGGATCAAACTCCTCATGGTCGCTACCAATCTCCCATGTTTGGTCCTCTGAGTTTTCTGACGGACTATCTTCGCCCTTCTCAATGCTGGAAGTGATTGTTTCTGAAATGACCCGCACAGCCTCTTCAATGCTGGACCACTTGTTCTTTTGGGAGAGATTATCGAGGCGCAAAGCGAGGTCATCAGCGCCATTGTCGAATTCCGAGAAAACAATAAAGCCCGAGTTTTTGGGATAAGACATGCAATCTACACGTCGCCACGGTATTATTGTTAGTGGGTGCGGCGGCGCAGGAGGGCGGTGTTGGTTGGCTGGACTGACCATGGGCAATCATATGAACAACAACAGGCTCAGGGAGACTGTCGTGGCGATATGTAAACTTGAGGTTGCCCGATTCCTCACCGTGGACCAAGTCAGAGACTCCATGTATCTGTTTGTCTTGGGCCTCGGACAGGTCCGCGTTGAAGCGCAGCGGCGGCATGTTGGGCGCTTACTATGCGTGACGGGGCGTGTGTAAGCGAGCGACAGTACCGAGCATGAATAAGGCTGGCTATCAAAGATGATGGAGAGGGAGGCAGAGGGAGGGCAGCACGGTCATGATCGTTTCATAATACGCAAGGCCCGGGTTCACGAAAGCTGCGGGGAGAGATGGAGGAAATGCTAGGGTGGTCGGCGGCTGCCTGGCCTTGGGGGCTGTGGCCTGCCTAACATTAGCGAGTGACTGTAGGACGGGCGGCAGTGGGTGCTGCAAACAGGCTGCCTACTAGAGTAGGTACTTGGGTGGGGTGGGATTGGACACCGTGAATAGGACGGGTCACGGGGAAGCGAGTTGATACCTAAGGACGAGCGGCTAAATCCTTCGACACTCGATAATACCATTACGGTCATCAGGCAGGTGTGTGGTAATAGCGCCCAGGCGCCCAGAACCTGGCGCCCTCATGCCGCCTGGCCGTGACAAGTTGATTTTTGCACGGCAGCGCGGCCGCCATCTTCCCAATTCAGCACGACCTCGTTAGTACCTAGGTAGGTGTAGTTATGATATTCAGGGCAAGATAGGTAAATGTGTACTAATAGTAAGGCAATAAACGCGGCGCACAAGGTGCATTAAATGTGCTAGCGCCTCGAGACCAAAGGATTTACTGAACCTACCTACAGGTATGTACCTAGGTACCTGGGTACTGCGTGACAGGGGAACACACTGTGACAATTCTTCATACCAAAGCACGTGCATTAACTATCAAGATGGTCTCACCAGTCCTGACTGGGTGTCCACAAATAAATACATACAAAATCTGGTAATCCCTTGTACTCCTGGCCACCGATCCGCGACGGGCTCTCCCGCGCTGGCGTGTTTTGCGCCAAGACTGGTTAGCCTGGCTAGTGCCGCGACACATCGTAGCGTAGCCGCCAGTTTCCCCCCTTTGCGGCCACGCCTTCCATGATCGAAAACACCAAATACACTTCCCATCGGCTCAACACAGCCAGCCCACTGTAGAGCGTGCTTGCTCTGCATTCGCTCATTGGCGTGATGGAACTCTCGTCTTCTCAACCACTGCATTCGACTTGTCTCTAGCGCAGCCTTACTTTCAGCCGCTCCAAAACAGGCGTGTCCCTCAAGTCGTGCCGCGACGCGCCCCCTCGCCTCACCTCGCCTCACCCCACCACTCAACATGACTCGACGACTACCCTACCCTGGTCTCCCAATGCCTCGCTTAACCACGCGCCGCTTGACTATTCTTCTCGCTGCCGTGTCCTTGTCCGCCCTTTGCCTCATTACGCTTCTCACATCCGCCGTTCCCTCGCCGCCGAGTCTCTCCACACCCGAGCGAAAGGCGACGACGACGGAGCCGCAAGTCTACGACACCGCCACGAAGAGCGCGCAGCGACCAGTCACACCCCCGTCGCAGCCGCCACCCCGTCAAAGCGATGACACATACGCCAGGTCGTCGTGGCTGGCAGACGCCGACGCCCTGTCCAAAGTCTTCTCGAACGAAGTGACTCTGGACGACGACAGGGCTCTTCTTCCGACTCTGGAAACTCGGCAGCCTATATATTGCTACTACGATGCGCTGGACAAAACAATGGCCGGCGAGAATGACACAGACGCTCGGCTGCTGCTCATGTGGCGGCGCGCCTGGTGGGCGCGAGGTTTCCAGCCGGCGATCCTCGGCCCGGACGAGGCCAGTAGCAATCCACTCTACGCCAAGCTAGACAGCCTGGATGTCGGCGCTGATTTGAAGAGGGACCTTTTGCGCTGGCTCGCGTGGGACACCATGGACGGTGGTCTGCTTTCTCAGCCTGTCGTGTTCCCCATGGGGACCGACTACGGGTTCCTGCCGACACTCCGCCGCGGCCAATACAATGCCTTGTCGAGGGCTGGCAATTTGTCTAGCGCGTTATTCTGGGGTTCCAGGGAGCAAGTGCACGCCGCGGTCCGGAACGTCATGGCCTCGGCCAACCTCCACTCGGTCAGCTCGTTCCTGGACGCTCTGCCGGCGGACGCAGTGGTCGAGCACGAGACTCCCCCTGTGTTGGCTTTCTACAACACCACCATAGTCGCCAAAAAGTACCCAAAACTGGTACTCGACAAGAACAAGCACCAATTTGGAGCATTGCGCAACGAACTGATCAATGCGCACTTGCAGTCCTCGTGGCAGAATTCGTACGCCATGGGCATCGACGTCATCAACCCATTCGAGGATCACATGAGCAACATGGTCCGCAACGCGACCGATCTAGCCCATGCTCTCGCATCCTGTCCTCCCACACCTCTTGCGGGCTCGTGTCCCCCCAACCTACCCAAGTGCGGCCCCTGCGGTGCTACCACACCCTTGGTCGTCCGGCCTGCCAAGACCTTCGCCAACGAGAGCAGCGTCTTCACCATTGGTATGGTGCCCCATCCGTGGACACGCACCGTCCTTGCCAACAAACGGGACGGCTTCAACGCCACCGTCATCCACGACTCCACACGCGACGGCTGGCTGCTGGCCGCTGCCGAGGGCCTACGCGGCAAGCACCGCTCGCGCTACTCTCAACTCCTGGCCCTGAAAAGGGCCATCTCGGGTGACACCGCCGACACCCGCTCCCTCTGGTTCACCGTCGAGGACCCCTTCCCCGCCGCGCTCGACTGGTACTTTGGCTTCGCCATCCCACAGACTATCATCGACGACGGCCGCTCCGAGAGCCCCGTGCCCTCGGACCACATCAACGACAGGGACCGTCCTGACCTCGCCTATGGCCCCAAGGCCATCACCGAGCTCGAGCGCGAGCGCGAGCTCGCCATCCTCGACCGCGCCAAGGACGTCTTCGCCCTGGCCAGCACACCATCCTCGGAAACACGCCGCCGCCGTGCATCCGCCGAGGCCTGGCACATGGCCGACACGGAAGTCTGGCGGTTCACGCGCGCCAACCACGACCGCCGCACTCTCGCCCGCACGCAGTGGGAGGATGCCGCCAAGTACACGGACGAGCAGCGCATTATTAGCGATGCGGGCTGGAGGCCTGGTATGAATGTCACGGGCGGCAACCGACGCAAAGAAGCGGAGAGAAAGGCCAAGGCGCGAGACTAAAGGTGTGAGACTGGAGGCGCGAGACCAGGAAGTTGCGCCTAAAACGCATGGTTTCTTCTCCGAAAATGATGTGTATTTGTATACCACGACGATTGGTTATTTTTTGAATATTTGTTTATTTGAGTACATAGCGTGTTAGTTGTTTCTTCGCCATTGGTTTCTAGGCACAATGCAGGTGTTTTTTATTCAGTGGGGAAAGCAAAACTGTATTCAACGCCAGGGTATGTTGAATTCCCTGCTCTAGATGTAAGAATTTTTAAAGCACATGGTTCCAATTTCTTGTTCCGTCGCAAGAGGCACACCAGTTGAATGACGCGGGAGTCATCTTGCCCTTTTTTTTCAATCACCTACCAGCTGACGAGGAGGGGAGCCGCATCCCAAATCCAAGCATGAGGCTGCCCGCACCCCGTCCCGAACCGTCTAGGTGCACTGCCATCTATGCGCGAATGGCCGTGTCGCCGCCCATTTCGCCGCTCAGCTCGCGCGAGGTCGGACCGCCGCGACGGCCGACGCCATTGGCCTTGCCGCCGCCGTTGCGGGGGAGCTGGGAGCCATTGCGGCCGGCGGTGCCGGTATAGGACAGCAGCGCGGCGCGGGCGGCCTCGACCACCTTTTCGGCCTGGTCAATGGCATTCTGCAGCGCCTCAGTCGTCGGGTCGGCAGCAGGTGAGGGGGGCGATGTGCTGCCGACAGTGGCGGCCTGCTCGGCGCGGAGCTCGCGAATGTGCTTGGAGAGCCAGAGGCCGTCGAGCTGGGCCGACGTCATATTCTTGGCGCCATCAATGGTGCCCTTGCACGTGGGCGTACCGCAGAGGCACTGGAAAGGCTGCGACATTTCCCATTCTGTAGAGGGGTAGAAAAACTAAGTGTCGAAGAGAATTGGTGATTAGAATTGCTGGTGGTCTTGTTTGGCTCGGCATTGCATATCCGCTGTGCCAGGGCCGTGGCAAGGGTAGTAGCGTGTGGTCAACTAACAGTGAGTTCATCGTCGGGTTGTAGGCCCTTGGGTCCAGCAATGATAATCTTGTTGCCAGTGTCAAAAATCTAATTGGTTTTTGTTTCCGTTAATTCTGTCATTTCTACTCGTATTGGGGGATATATGACGTCTTGTCTTCAACAAGCCTGAGACTCTGCTCCTCCCACGTGCGACAACTCCAATGCGGGGGACGGCCAACACCCACAGCCGGGAGCGGGCAGTTTACTAACAAGAGAGGGTTCGCAAGAGTGGTTAATGTACAGCAGGTCACTGTTGAGGTTGAGATGTCTATTGCGTCCCATTTGCACCGTGGCATACGTGGGCTCCGCCGCTTCCGTGCACGGTGGAAAGTCAAATCGGGCAAAGAGGGCAAAGGGTGGCAGAGCCACGCGCGAGAGGCTCTTGGTGGTGAATTCGACCTCGTTGAGGATGACGACTTTTTGGATGTCGGGGTGGGATGGCTGCTGCCAGTGAGGAGTGAGAGGAGCCATGATGATGCGTTTCAGGGTGACGGAAACGTGGTTCAGCAACGTAATGTGCTATATTCAATCAATTAAAGCGCTGTAAATCGGCTGGTTGCCTCGGTTGTAGTCGTAAAGTCGTAGGTCGTGACGGGGTTCAATGTGGTGACAGTCGTGACTTGAGTTCTCGAGGCTAGTGTAGATGCAAAGCCATGAAATACAAACAGATGGGCATCATGAGTCTAAATAAGTGTTGCGTCAATTTAGTTACCGGTCCGTTCTCAACCGCCATCATCCAATTGAACTCGGTTTCCCCAGTTGTATGGATCAACGCTACCTGGTGGAGATATGGCTTAGCAGCCGAGGCCTTTGGTAGATCGCCAACCCCAACTAGTTCATAACTCAAGCCAAGCTTGTCCAATCAGGCCTGTTTCATACCTCAACTAGCCTCGCGTCTCAGAAAACCTGCTGTTGTGTGGCTAAAAATGCGTTGCTTGACTCCACCGCTGCCACGCTGCGGACCGACGGCTGTCGAGTCATCTCCCTTCAGCCGACCGGGTTGGGGGCATCGAGCAGACGCTAGGAGGCCGCTGAGGGCTTGTTGCAGATGTGTAGACGATCTGTAGCCTTGCATTGTCCTGCAGCCAGAGTTTTGGTGAAGAATGAAGTCCACGGCATAAAAATAGGTCCTGTTTCAAAGTTCGGATGCATGTGCGCCAGCCTCCAGGTTATTCTGTCGGCTCCACAGTGACATGGTATTTCGGTTATCCAGTCGTCAACTTGGTCTAAATTCCATGTGATAGGCAACATTAAATCGAGAGGGCAAGCATTCAGAAGCCGCTTCGTGTGGTGAGCTTGAAGGTCGTCGTTTTTCCCACCGAGATTCCGTCCAGGGTAGTTGTGCCTATGCAAGTGTCAGGGAACGTGACAAGCTTCATTGTTACCCTGATAGCACACATCCTTTCATCACATCAGGCTGCGACAACGTGACGACGACCAATATGGTCATCAGACATGCACCACGGCGCGTGAACTAGTTTGCATGAACAACCCCCAGCCGCAAGTTACACAAGTCACATCACTGTCGGCGAACCGTTGATGGTGACGGTCGGTGCCGCATCCAGTGTCTGTGCGCATGATGCCTAGAACTCCCTGAGCATGCGAGGACTTCCCAATTCTGCATTCTCTGAGACAATGTGAACAGTAGGCACTTTTGGCACCCTGCATCGTTGCAAATTGATTGACTGTAGCTCCTTCGACGAGGCGGTTGTGTGGAGGCGGCCCGCCACGGCGGAGGCGGTGGTGCCCCCATGTTCGAAACCGAGAGGCGTTCGAGCACGGGAGGCAAGGAGGGTGGCTCGGCTTGCCAGTCAGACATCGCCTGAGCACACTCAAGTTTCGGGTGCGCGCCTGAATGGCGGGGGAGGGATGTTGCGGCGATGTACTCCGTACCCAGGTTGCGAATATATAAGACGGTGGGTAGGCCCTTGGGCTCCGGGGGGGGGGGAATCGCTCGTTAGTATCGTTCGCGCCGCATTGGTAAAAAGATGATTAACTCGTGCAGTTTTGCGGGAGATTCTCTTGCCTCTGTAGTTGAAAATACTGCTGGTAGCCCGCCTCGACCAAAGCCAGATCCGCCACGGCCCGTACCGGAGAACCCCAGACCATCAGCAAAATGAGCTGCCAGCTCGAGCATAGCCAGGTGGAGACTGGACACGCACAAGCGAATTGAGTTGGAAGCGCGTGCGTTTATTTGCTGTATTGCAAGAGCCATTCTTTATGGGAAAAGAGGTATGTGAGGATTTGCACGATGCCTTAGGCCCTTCCCTGACAGCTGGCAGCTTACGCTTTTTTGTTGGCAGCTGCCGCAAAACCAAACGGATGCACGCCCAGACAGTGGCCCGTTTGTAGGCAATAAAAACGATGGTCGGATTGTTGCCGGAGAGCAGGGAGTTGAAATTGCTACTAATTATCTATTATCGAGATCTCTGATATCCATTGCCCAAATAAGAATCGGCTTGCATTCATCGTGCTCTCCGTGGCTTACACGCTTCCCATAGCAACAATAATTGCTCTTTCCAATGTCGCCCGCGAAGCTTGCAAAGTATTGTAGAGAATTGTCAATGCCTACCTCCCTACTAAGTTAGGTAGGTACCTGCCTTCCCAATGCGCCGCCAGCCGACTGCCTTCTCGTCCTTTCATGCTCCTCGTCCATTTCGTCTCCCTTTGACATCTCCATCCGCTCCCATCACTCCATCTGTCACAACTTCCTATCTCGATTTCTCACGACGGCCGTTTCCAGATCGCCATTTTGACTGATCTTTGTATGCATACACGTGCGGTCGCGAATTGCTCTCGCTGGCAACTGTTGGGTAAGTCCAGGGTCTTCTCACTTTGTTCTCACCTCCCCGCTCGCCCTCGTCACCCCCTCCCAACCCGGCTGCAGCCAGCACAAGCTCGATCAGTGGCATATGCCATATACACAGCGACTCCCAATCCCCCCCAATCTCGCATCGTTACCGTCGTCAATATTTGCCTCCCTCGGGCAGCCTGCCGCTTCAGCCTCCCGCCCCAGTTCCAACAGTTGCACTGGCTTTCCTTGAGATCTCTTTGCCAACACTCTAAAATGGACGAAAGCTTCGATTAGCATTATTTCAGAAATCAATATCACTTTTCACGACTCGGCATGACACTCACCCGTTCAAAAAAGTCGAAGCGGATACTTCGCTGGCTCTCGGTGCTCCAGAATGAGGATGAGACCCTGGGCCCGTCTACGGCGTTTCTTATCAAATATTCCTTGCTTCACAATCATCACCGTTGCATCCAGGTCACAATACGGCTGGTTGGCGCTTCCAACTTCCTCCATTGTCTCTCGTCTTGCACCGACTTGCCATACTTTCTTCAGTCACAGCTCCAGGCCCAGAAAATTACTGACGGATCCAGACTTTGGACGCAGATTGCCCCCATCTTGACCTTTATTCGCGCCAACATCCGATCTACTGGATCCTCCCGAGGCTACCCAACCCTTTTTGTCTGGTATTCAAGAGAAAACCATCGCTCATATCTGTTTTTCGCCTTTCTCAGAACAAAAATGGCCCCTGTCACGTATACCCCCCAAGACTTACTTCGAATGCGGGCTGCTCCCGCCAGAAAAGAGGTGTATGACGAGATTTGCCAGAAACTGCAGAAGGAGGCTTCTATCGGTGCGTTTCTTTGGTTGTACCTCGTTTTTGCTGCTCCTAACAATTTGAATTGTAGAAGATATTCTGCGTCTACCCGTCAACAGATCCTTGCCTTTGATCCCTGAAGAAGATACTGAAAAGCTTACAACTGCCCCCAACGGCAATCCTGGCCCTGTTCAACAGCTTGATGGCACCGATTCTGAATGGAGATACCGCGGTCGGACAGAAAATGAATGTGGCGAGCCACAGCCAATCTCTGCGCCATCCGGTCTTGTTGCCCAAAAAGACGAAGGCTTTCAGCGATTTTACAAGGCCGTAGTCTCGCCTACTCATGTCAGAGTTACAGCAGGCGGGCGCATTGTTCCAAACACGAGAGCTTCTTCATCACCCACTGGCAAATGGACAAAGGACAAGCCTTCGTCGGGCAGTCTCTTCGCCGCCCGACCTATGGAGAGGGATGCAGCCGACATAGCGGCAGCAAATGGCACCCAGTACCCATTCGGCGCCTTCCCTTCTTTATATCCAGGATATGCTCCTGCCATGCACGGATCGCCATACCCAATGTTCCCCTGGCAGATCTACAACACGTTTTGTTTGCCGGCACCTATGCCACAAGCCGCCTTCCCGAAACCCAGTGACAAAGATAACTCACGCAACCAGCAGGATGGCGTCGATGACCGCCAGGAAGCATCTGACCCTTCTCAGCACCAAGCTTCCGCCCCTACAGATGGTAGCCGGCCCTTTTACTTCAATGGACAGTGGCCTATGACTCATAACCCATCCCTGTTTGCCTACGGTATGCCTTCATTCTCCGGTTTCCCTCATCCGTCGATGGTTGGCCCTGTTGCAGTACCGCCGGCAATACAGCCTACACCTTCTTCCCTGACCTCGGTCCCGGCTCATATACCTGTGCCTGCATCTTCCAAGTCTGACAAGCCTGTCACGGGGACCGCAAAACCCGGCCCTGCTGTGGCTGCATCACCAACGACACCGGCTTCGCTGCCGAACCCTCCTATCTCGTCGATTCGACCCAGTGAAATTACCAAGAAGCAAATCGATGTTCTCAAGGGATCCTTGAAATACCTAGAAGATCAACTTCTATACAACAAACATCAGATTGATGAAAAGTGGATGGAGTATCAGGCACACATGGTTCGGCAGCAAGTAGGCCAATTCGAGAAGAACCTACAGAACCAAAAGAGCTTTGAGGAAAGTTATTATCCGAAATCCAAGGATAATTCTTCCGCATCGTCGGTCTCTGTTACCGCCCAAAACCCCTCCACAGACGAATCATCTGCCCAACCACCGAACGATGGCACGGGCAATTCTGGCCAGAAGCCATGGCGTGAGAAGGACCACGAATATTTTCAAGCACACCAAGGCATCAACTCCACCAAGTCGGTCAGTCTGTTCGCTCCAAAGAGGCTCGGTAGCAACGCGGAGCCTACCAAGAAAATTTCCACGCTGCCAGTCCATGCGGCTCTTGCACCCCCCTTCCAACCACAGAATGAAGGCCCTGGTCGATCCTCGTTTTTGTCTTCGCGAAAGCCAGATACTCCATATCTCATTGGCATGATTCCCGCCGGGAGCAATCAGGACAAAGCACGGGAGACTGGGTACCAATATGCACGAGACCTTACCGATGATGAGCTTCGTGCACGCCATATGTACTGGGGCAAGGCTCCTCATCACTTGCAACGTGGTCTTCCCAAGTTTGATGGCAAAGACTTTTACCCACCGTCCCCCACAAGAGATCGAACTTCTGAGTCAAATGATTCATTCATGGAGATTCAATCTGAGAGCGACGGCCCACGAAGTGCTAACGGATCCGTATATGACCCATTCCGATCCTTGGGCAGACCAAGACAGCGAGTGCCTCGAGGCCCTTTGGGGCAGACGACGCAGTCCGAAGCGTTGGCCCGGAACTCGAGCTGTGGCAGCTCAGTCATCGAGCGCGGTACATCCTGCACTGGCAAAATTGTTCACCAAAATGAGAATGCTCGCAAGACTGTGGACCAACCGGCAAATACTGTTGCTGTCTCTTCGAAATTGATGAACTCGGATTCTGAAGAAGGCGATGATGGTCGGAGCATCCTCTTCAAGGGCCGCAAGCCCGCAACCTCGGGGTATGTACCCTTTTTTATCCCCTACGTGCCTGTCATTGACTAACTTAGTTTTACAGGACCAAATCACGCAATGAAATCTGGCAGAGTATGCTCCACAAGGGAAAGTCGAGCGGGCAGCTCGTACCTAGCACAATTTCATCGGCCACAGCCCAGGGTGTTCTTCCACAATATCGAGGCCACGCCACAGCGTACTTGACTCCAACCATCGCAAATACCTCCACACCAGCACGTTCTGCCACGGCAAATGGAGGTGATTTGACTCGGCTCAAGTCTCCAGAGCCTGTACAGACCGAGAATGTGCCACCGACCGTGGCCAACGACAATGAATCGATTCGTCAAGCCAACCTTCACAAATTTAACCCACAGGGAATATTGTCGCAGTAATTACGCCGTTATGATCAGATTCAACTTCACATTAAAAAGTTTTAGCTCGGGCATGAATTACACCAGCCATACTTACGACACTTGTATGAATAGCATCGCATCAGAGTTAGCTGTCCAAGGTTTGCATCACATTGCTTTTATCTTTGGGCTGGATTTTGGGCTGCAGCTTCAGTTTGCAACAATATAGATACATGACCGGAGTCCGCTGCCGATGATTTGGGGCAAGCATGGTGCAACATGCAGCAATATCACGATACTCGGGTTCATCATATCGTGGCTTGTATGCATTTCGAGCGCATTTATGCGGCAGGGGATGCGAGGTTATAGATATATCGACGGGACCGTCTGTTGACATTGACTATGATATGCTCCAGACGATGAGCATTCTATTAGATGAAGCAACAGATGCTAGTTTTAATTGATGGATTATGCTTTACCCACGCGTGTCGCACTAGTCTTGGACGGACACGATGAGTGCTGTATTGTAGATAAGGGATTTGGTGTTACATTTGGCTGGCATGTCCCTCACCATCAAATCTTCATAGTCATTAAAGTTACTCTCGATGAAAATCTTCGGGCAAGAAGTAGAGGCCGATAATTGGCCAACTACTCGGTTTAGTCTTCGCCAGTCGTTTACCTCGAAGACCATGTGGAAAAAATGGTCAACACGGTGATATGTTGGCGGTGGATGCTAGTTGCCAGGAAGGCAGTGATTCGTCTACGAGCAGAACTACGAGTCTCCTTGAGCCGAAGGGGGAATGCGTCACGGTCGGCAATGAATCGGACAAGAGGGCAGGACAGACTTCGGGAAACACCTCCCATGGAGCACTTCACAGAATAATGTGAAATGGCCATTGAGAACCGAGGATTCTCAATTCATCTACCCTGCTGGGTTCCTTCGCTCTTCCGAAGAGAGACGAGGGGAATTCCTATCGCAAAACATTAAAAAAACGCCGGAGTATCATGCCCATTTCCCGTTTATCCCATGTGGTGTGTATCCATTGGCTTGTTTTTCCCACCAAATGAACAACTTTTTTGTATCGTTTGGCATCCATTCGTCGTCATGGCTCTGTATTCTTAAGCAGTGACCTTGCCGGTGGCGGCGAGCTCACGGCCGCGCTTGGAGCGGGCCAGGATGTCCTCGCGGTCCTTGTCGAGCTTGAGCTTGGTAATGACGACGTTGGAGGGGTGGATGCCGAGGGGTACGGACTGGCCAGAGGCCTTGTCGCGGGTGACGCGCTCGACGTGGATGACATATTTCAGACGGTAGACGGAGGTGACCTTGCCCTCGGAGCCCTTGTTGGAGCCGCGGACAATGGTGACCTCGTCGTCCTTGCGGATGGGGATGGAGCGGACCTGCAAAGGGGACATGTTAGGAGGGACGCGTGGGCGAGAGAAAACGGAAGGGGCGAGGACGTACGTTGTACTTCTCACGAAGCTCCTTAGAGAGGGGAGCGCTCATGATGACACGGCGCTCGCTGGAGGGGGCCTTGAAGTGGGCGGCACGGCTCTTGCGGCGGGAAGCCGAGACGTCTGGCAGCCAGTCAGTACAGAATTCGCAACAGGATTTTTCGAGGTCGGAAGGTGAGCTTACTGGGGCTGTACTTGGCCATTGTGTTGGGATTGTCGAAAGGAATTCGGCGTAAGAATTTTTTGTCGACGTTGGGTGATGGGTTGGGAGAAAATGCGAAAAGCGAGCTGTCGAAATCTTTTTTGGTGTGCTGGTGTGGGCGCCCCGGACTGTGGGCGGAAATTTAGACGAATGTGTGGGACGCACGTGATTTAGAGGGTATTTTCTCTTGGTTGGTGGGCGCTGGCTTCATTTTCGTTTTGACCTTGGTTTTGATTATGTCAGCATTTCGCCAATGCGTCGAATAGCGACAACTCATAGAGAGAGCTAGAAAAACTGTGAAAGACGGATGTCAAGTCGGCGTCATATAAGCTGAAATTGTGGTCTTTTACTGGAAGCGCATATCAGATGTCAAGGTGCGTAATAGTCTGCTAACCGCGCTGGCCGTAACAAGGCATATCATCCAGATGCACTTGCTACAGTCCAATCTTGACGCAAGAAATTTCAATCGTGTTACTTATACAGACGCTCTATATGCGGGAGTATGAAATAGGATGGTGATACAAGTGGGGGAACCGTGCTGGTTCGGGTGTTTTACAGTGTAGCAGGAGGAGTGAATCGACCATTGTCGTCGTAGCGAGCTTCTGCAGCACATGTTAGCGTTCCCATTCTCTCTAAGACGTCAATTCTCAAGAGCTCGCACGTACTAAAAAAGGTGTAATTCAGCGTCACTGTCTCGACGCCCTTCATGTTGAGGTCGGTCAACAGGTCCGGATCCAGGTAGAAGAACACCGGCATGTCCACCGTCTCGCCCGCGTTCAGCCGCTGCTCCTCGAAGCAGAAGCACTGAATCTTGCTGAAGTACGGCGCGCACTGCGCCGGCGTGACGCTGTACGTGGCGACGCCGATGATGTCCTTGTCGCCGCGGTTCGTGGCCGTGTAAAAGGCGAGCGCCGTCTCGCCAGGTAGCACCCGCACCTCGCGCTGCTGCGGCACAAACTTCCACGGCAGCACGTCAGACACGGAGGCATTGAACGTGACGCGGATCCTCTTCGCTGTCGTCACGGGCACGACGCGGCCGGAAATGTCTTGCAGCTCGCCGCCAGGGCCGCCGTGGACGCGGATCGGCTGCCCGCCCCAGCCGGTCTGCTGGCAGATCTAGTACAAGTCAGCCCAAATGTACGTCGTCGAAAGAGGGTCCAGACAGGGAGCATTTTCCGTACCATTTTATACAGGGGGACAGAGCCGTACGAGAAGGCAACGGTGCCGAGGATCGCGCTAATAGTGTACATCCTGTTCCGTGTGTTAGCCTAAAGTCCCAAAACCGCAGAAGACGCCAATTGAGAAGAGTACGGCACATACATGACGGTTCTGTTCTTTTGTCGGTAGTGCGCGCGGACCTTTTCCATCGACAGCGCATTGGGGTTCTCCTCGGGCTGAGCGCGGCGGGCCGTCGTGCCGGACAGCTTGCGCCGAAAGACGGGCGTGTTGAGGCGTCGGGTCGGCTGGCGCGCGGTTCTGCAGAAGAGGCAGGCCCATGGCGAGGAGGCTGTCGGCGCTGCTGCGGACCGCGCAAGCTGCCGGGAGGTGTTCATGGCGGGCGCGAGCGATGTGTCGTGGGCGGTCGAGTGAGGTCAGAAATGAGCAGTGCAAGATCGGAGCAGAGAGAGCAGCGTTGCATGAGTTGGTTGTGCTGCAGCCAAATTTTAGTGGGTCATGGCCCGACCTTTTGAGGGTTGTTTCCGGAGAGGTTCGGAGTTTTTTACATGGATATTTTTGCAGTATAAAAATGGAAATTGGATTTCTATTATGCAGATGAAATGATGATAAATAAAAAGAAAAATCAAGTACACGCTAATGCTCGTCGAAACAATTACAGAAAATCAAGGCAAAAACAAGGCAAAAAAAAAAGGAGATGGTCTAGTTGCGCTTCTTCTGGCAGGCTTTGGCAGTGCCGTTCAGCACGCTCCGTCTGTTACCAACAGAGGAAAACCGATCAAAAGTCAATACAATGAAGAGCTGGACGAGAAGGATGAAGAAACGCAAGACGTAATCCGCCAAGCCGAGCTGCGGTTTCCGGCCCCTGCTGTAGGTCGAGTCCTTGAACGTAAAGGGCAGCTTGGCGCCGAGGTGGTCCTGCGCGACGGCGAGGCCGCTGCTGAAGCCGTCTTCATGGAATCCGTAGTTGGTCCAGGCGCCGGCGTAGCTGATGCCGCGCTTGTTCTGGATGCGGGGGAGCTGGCGCTGGGCGCGGAACGCGGCGGGCGTGTAGAGCGGGTGTGAGTAGAAGAAGCGGCCCTGGACCGTGGCGGGGCGCGGGCGCTGAAGCGGGTTGAGCGTGACGAGGACATCGCCAAAGGGTTCGCGCGGGATGTGTTGCAGCAGATTCATGTTGTAGGTCAGGGACACCTTGTCAATGTTGGCCTTGCCGCTGGCGGGTGACGACAGTGTCAGGTAGTTCCAGGCGGCCCACGCGCGCGTGCTACGCGGCAAGAAGTTTAGGTCCGAGTGCAGCACGGCCTCGTTTTGGGACGTTTGGAAGCACGAGAGGACGGAGCGCTCGGCATCGGTGGCCGACGGCCCGAGCAGCGCGAGCGCCTGATCGCCGTGCGTGGCGAGGACGACGTGGTCAAAGGCTTCGGTGCGGCCATCCTCCATGTGTAGCAGCACGCGGCCGTCGTCGCTGTTGGCGACCTGGCGCACGGCCGTCTTGAGGTGCAGGTGGTTGGGCGGGAAGCCGCGCATGACGGCGTTGATGTAGGCTTGGGCGCCCTCCTTGATGGTGAGCCACTGCGGCCGCGCCGAGACGGTGGACAGCAGGTGGTGGTTCCACATGAATCGTACCATGGCTACGGCGGGGAAATCGAGGCCGCACTTGTCCGGGCCGGTGCTCCAGACGGCAGCAGCCATGGGCAGCAGATAGTCATCGCGAAAGGCGTCCGAGTAGCCCTCGCGGGCGAGGTAGGCGCCAATGGTCTCGTCGCCGTCCGCGCGGCGGGCGGAGAAGCGGGAGGAGGACGCGGTATCGTCGTCGTCATCGTCGTCGGTGGCATTAGTGAGGAGGTCGAGGGCGAATTGGTTGAAGCGTATAATGTCAAAGAGCATGCGCCACATGCGCGGTGAGAAGAGGCGGCGGCGCTGCGCAAAGACGGCGCCGAGGTTCGTACCAGCCCATTCAAAGGCGCCATGATCGCGCGAGACGCCAAAGGTCATTTCTGTAGGCTCCGTCTCTACGCCGACTTTGCTGAGGAAGTTGATGAAGTTGGCTGTCGGCCTGAGTTAGCACTTGCGGTGGCGCGGAAGGCATTGAGCGGGCAAAGCAAAGCGTACGGTATGTAGCCGTGTTCAGGACGATGAAGCCAGTGTCAACGGCCGTCTTAAACTTTCCGGCGCTCCATTGCACCGTGTTTGTGTGGCCGCCTAGGCGATCGGCCGCCTCGTACAGGTGGACATCGTGATAGGTGCGGTTGAGCGCCCAGAGAGCTGCGATGCCGGAACAGCCGCTGCCGACAATGGCGACTTTTTTTCTAGTAAACCGGTTAACCGGCGAGCTCATGGTGAGAAAGAGGCGGCAGATGGAAATCACGATGGGAAAAACGATGGAATTATTGGGCAATTGGGCTATGGCGAGAGAAGATGCAAATGGCCAAGAGGCAAAAAAGAGGAGTTGGGTGTCGATGACGAGCCACACCCAGGCCGGTGGGTAGCAGCGCCTCTGTTGAGATCGATTGGCGACACGCAAGCTTGTGAAAAGAAAAAGAGGAGCGATCCCGAGGTAGCAAGACAAAAATGGTGCATGGCTAGCTGAGCCGGAGCTGCCCGAGTTGCGTCGCCGGAAGCGTTATCTGGGCACTGGGGTGGTGGTGCATACAGGATACACAGGATACAGGTAGGGTCAAGACATACATGTGCTTGGAGTCTTCCATTGGGCGCGAGGGGACTGCTGAAGGCATTGGGTGATAATGGAGATGGAGAGAGGCGGGAGTAGAACGTGTTGTAGCCTGAAGAGAAAGCGAAGAATGAATGAAACGAATGATGTGACGGGGAGGGAAGAAAAACGTCCGAGGACAAAGGGACAGGACGAGCAACCTGCGACCAGCGCGGACCCCAGGTTTTATTATTTCTGCGACGCCGTCGTCGACGTAACGAGGCGGCTTGAGCGGCTAGTTACTCCGTATATGAACGAATAACGAATAACTACCTGACTAGTAGTTACCAACAATACCTAATAAATCACGAGAGAGCAAAGGGCGGCAAAGTGCAAACAGCATCCCGGTCAAAAGGTTGAGGCTAGTGCAGGCGGGTTGGGGTCACTCGGGCACAATAAGCGGCGCCGAGGCAACCCCAACACTTAACAACCAGTAAGCTGACGATACAGGTGCTCACTTGATCGATTTCGTGCACCAGGTCTGTGCTTCGAAGAGGCTTCCCGGAAACGGGGAATGCAACAAGCCAAGAGCTGGGTCGAGCGCGACGAGGCTGGTAATACCGAGGTGGTGTGCATGAATAAATTATATGTACGTGCGTTGTCAAAAGAGGCTGGCTCACGTTTCACAGCCGCCACAGACGGCATCCTACGGCTATCATCTGGGTAAATCAGGTCTGAGCTTTTTCTACGACTGGAATGAAAAGGGTTGGAGTGCAATTCCCATTCTTCATCCCAAAGGAAAATCCTGCATCAAAATGTCGAGCACTCAACGGGATCGGGAAACGTCGGTTCGAATCACCAATTCTTAGAAGCGCCGTAACAGGATATTCTCCCGCAAATCCTTCTCCCCGGTTTATATCAACTTGGTGCCAATATGACAAGTAAATGTCTGGTCGTCAAGCCTAGTATCTTCAATCGCCGGGTGTCAACTTTGAAGAAGAAGAAGAAGAAAAAAGGAAAAAGATTCTGCTGCCTCGAAGAACCCCATATATCTGTTTTGCATCACGTGCAGGAGTGGCTGGGAGCCCCGCTGTGGCCACGCAACAATACTAAGTCAGTCCTGGCAGGGGTGCTCCAGGCTGCAGCCCGCTGTAACGGCTGCTGTAACTTCCCGGCGCAAGCTGTGACATAACCACCGGGGCCCGACTCCTTGCTAGCACCGGCCAGCGGCTGACGCAAGGCCCTCCTCGACTTGACCACTTTCGTTCCATCCAGCCTTGTACATCTCCCGCCATCGAAAACAACGTCACTGCCTGTCGCCGCCGCTTGCTTGTCCTTTTGAGTTTATCTGCTGCCAAACTATCCTACGACTCTTTCTCTTGGCTTCTCGACTGCGACCCCCAACCCTCCTTTCTCCGCTGCCTCGGCCGACCACTTCATCACCACAAGCCAGTACTTCTGCCGCCGCCGCCGCCGCCATGTCGAACCCTCTCGATAGCGATGTCGGCTCTGAGCTCTTCAACTCATACGAGGCTGAGCTCAAGCTCGTCCAGGCCGACCTATCGCAAAAGCTGGAGCAGATCCCCGAGCTGTCGGGCGAGCCGCGCAAGGCCGCCATCAGCCAAGCCGAGCGTGCGCTCGAAGAAGCCGATGAGCTGGTACGAGTCGTCGTTTGATTCCAATTTTCCCTCATCTTCAAATTAACATGGCGTCTTTCCCCCTCCGCTAGCTCGGCCAAATGCGCCTCGAAAAGTCCAACATTCCCACCTCGTCCCGCGCCAAGGTCAACCAGCGCTTCCGCAACTACGAATCCGACGTCGACTCCAGCCGCCGCAAGCTCGCTGACCTCTCCTCGGACCGCGCTGCCCTCTTCGGCGCCCGCTACACCGACGACCCCGCCGGCCCCTCGGACATTCACCTCGAGCAGCGCCAGCAGCTGCTCTCAGGCACCGACCGCCTCGACCGCAGCACCCAGCGCCTCAAGGCCAGCCAGGCCCTCGCCAATGAGACCGAGGACATTGGCGCTGGTACCCTCGCTGACCTGCACCGCCAGCGGGAGACCATCCAGCACACCCACGACCGCCTCATGGAGAGCGAGGGTTACGTGGACCGCAGTGTCAAGACGCTGCGGGGCATGGCCCGTAGGTAAAGTCGCCCGATGTTGCCCTTGGGTCGGCGTTTATACTGACGTTCTGGGTCACAGGATGGCTACGAACCGGATAATCACAATCTCCATCATCACTGTCTTGGTTCTCTTGATTGTGCTCGTCATCTATAGCAAGTTTAGGTAATGTGTCTTGCGCAGGAGTTTGGGTTTGCCAGGTTTCCATCTGCGGTATGAATAGAAGTTCTGCGGATGATAGTGTAGATTTTATATAAGCTAGCATCCGTTATTTCGCTGCGCATTCAATACAGCGCATAATATGAGATGTGTACGGAATGGTTTGTCGTCAAAGCTCCCAATCCACTAACAGTCCCGTCAGAGATGCAGTCTTTCCTCTCGTCGCTTTCAGTGTGCAAGCCACAACGCAGTAATATCGGTGCGAAGCAAACTACGGGCTTCGGCAAATGAAATTCGCTCCATCATTCGCATCTTCACCGTCTCGTCGCACATCTGGGTTCATTTTGCCGATTTTCAAATGTAGTCGAGGGTAGCACCATAGCACCATAGCACACGTGAGTTTGGCCACTTGGTCAACAAGCTCATGCGGGGCTCCCCACACACCCGAACATCAGCCGCTCATGTTTGCGCACACTCCAGCTTGTTCAACCTGGCAAAACTTTGCCTCATAAAAACGCCGCCTGGCCTCTTCCAGCTCTCCCTTTCTACTCCACCAACATATTCTTCTCTTTTTCAGCCGCCCTCCCTCTACCGTTTGCCTCTGGCTCCCTATCCTCAATTTATATCCCATATTTTTTTTCCCTCTACTCCATAGCCAGTTTGCTACGTGCTCAACGTAGTGCTGAGCCTCCGCCATGTCGGGTTTTCTTGGGTTAGCAGCTTACGCATTCTCTGCCACCTGGCTCGATCGCTAACCGCGCATCGCAGATCCCGCATCTCTCTCATTTCAAAAAGCGATATCCGGTATGTTGGCTTCCATTTTCAGCTCTAGAAACGCCCAATCGCTTACAATGGCATCAGCTACGTCGGTACCCTACACGAGATCAACTCGGAAGAGTCCACAGTCTCGCTCGAAAATGTTCGATCTTTTGGCACAGAGGGACGCAAAGGGAGACCTCAGGAAGAGATTGCTCCCTCTGACCAGGTCTATGAATATATCGTATTCCGCGGCAGCGATGTAAAGGACCTTCGCATCGAGGAGCACCCTGGCATCAAGGAAAACAAGCCCCCTGCCGTACCCGACGATCCTGCTATCCTAGGTGTAAGTACTGTTCTACCCACACATCTCCTGATTCTATGATGAAATATTTCGGATGTAAACCTTTGTCACATCTGATAGCGCAAACCATGTGGAAACTTTCCGTTGCCTTCCTTCTGATCTCCCAACCATACTATATTCTTGTTTGATACTTGACCTCAAAGCAACAGTGTGCTGACTCGAACCAAGGCTCGCCCTCGCCTCCCACAAGGCAGCAACCAGAATGTGCCCCCCCAGCGCCCCCCTCAAGGACCACAGGGACAGCAGTTCCCTCCTAACGCCAACTTCCAGGGCGGTCCTCCTGGCCAATGGGGTCGTGGCGGCCCAGGCCCGATGCCTGGCCCTGCATTTGGCAATATGCCATACCCATACCCTCCTCCCTCGGGCTGGTTCCCTGGCCAAGGCTTCCCTCCTGGTCCTGGTGGTCCTGGTGCACCTGGTCCTTGGCAAAACCAACCTTTCCCTCCGGGTGGTCCCCAAGCCGGCCCTGGACCTCAAGGCCTACCTCAAGGCGGCCCGGGGCTTCAAGGCCCCCCTCAGCCTGCGAAGCCCGAGTCGAAGCCTGTCGAGGCGCCTGCTGGCCCAGATGCACAGACAGCCCCTACGCCTCCAGTCGAGTCCAAGCCGTCCACCGCCGCCGTCAAAGCCGCCGCCTCCAATCTCGGCCCCAACGGAGCTTCTGTCCCTTACCAACGAACTAACAAGGTCAACCCTGTTATTCCCTTGACAGGAGCCAGCGCCAAGCCTTTTTCTCTACCCAATGCAGAGCAACGTTCCCCTCAGCCCCCATCTGGGCCGGCCGCGGCGCCAACTAGTGTCCAAGACGCCACCAGCGCTGCCAGAGCTGCTGTTGCCAACGCCATGGCCCAGCTTGGCAATGGCGGCGGCAACGCCATGGACAACCTGACCAACAAGGTCAACGAGATGAAAGTCAATGCTGGGCGTCCACCCACCGCTCCTCGTGGTCGTGGCCGCGGCGGCAGAGTCGCCACTGCGACACCCAAAGTGGAAGTCCCCGATTCGGACTTCGACTTTGCCGAAGCAAACAAAAAGTTCAATAAGGACGAGGGCAAGCAGCCTGGTGAAGAAGTTGACGGCGCCGAGGTCGAGGAAGCCGACGGCAACGAAGCTACTGGTCCCGCTGTATACAACAAGTCCACCTCTTTCTTCGACAACATCTCGAGCGAGGCTAAGGACAGAGCCGCCAACAATGGCCAGAAGCCCGGAGGCCGCGAGTGGCGTGGCGAGGAGCAACGCAAGAACATGGAGACCTTTGGGCAAGGTAGTGTTGACGGAGGCCATCGCAACTATCGCGGTCGCGGTCGTGGACGTGCTGGTGGCAGAGGCCGTGGTGGTCGCGGCCGCGGAGGCCGGCCTCAGTATCAGGCAACCGGCGAACTATAGAGTTGGTGTTAATGCCCGGTGCCTTGATCACATTCTTACTGTAACGATTATTAGAGGTTCGGAGGCCAGCGAGACGACTTTTTGAAACCGATTTTTTTTACAATGGTTCATGAACAAAACTTCGGAGCATTTGGACATACAGGGCCACGGCAGGCTTACATGGAGCTCGGATTGCATTGGAGGTATGGCAAGGGTTTTATAACGAGCACAGATGGGGAATGATTTTTTGTTAGCTGGATTGAGCGAACCAGATTTTAGCGTGGGCGACTTGCGCCAAGATTATTTGACAGATTTACGACTGGGGGATGCAACGAAATTACGATAATACCCGTTGCACTGGAAGGCGGCCTGGGCTGCCGTGGCATTGGGACCGGAGGCATTCAGGATATCTGACTGTTGTCCGGCAGTGAAATTACCTACACAAACAAAAATGAATACAAAGCCAATAGCGGCAGTCTTGTGTCATGAAGCTGTTTACTAGGGTTTGTCCGCTGATGATGTTCACACAAGTTGGCGTATGTCTACTCGGCATAGCTGTTAACTCCGATCGAATTGACATTTTTGACACAAACCAACCCAGTTGATTTTACTCTCATAAAAATAAGTCACGGCCGACACATCATGGCTTAGCACGTACAGAGTACAACGGGGGCCTCTAGAAGAGCTGGGAACGCATGATGACAGGTAGGTCAAGACGGTCTCGTGATGCTGGAAGCATAGCTTCTCATGCACTAGCGGTTGAATAAAGATTTACGAGAAAACTTCAATTGATGATTTCGGACAGCCATCTCTTTTGGTATTACGTACCAATGAGATTTTTCTTTAATATATTAACATGCTGTAGTTACGCTGCATCAGTACGCTCGAGTCCTTTGGAGTTGTCAAGTGTGACCCGCAATGGGCCGGCGTGACTCGAAGTCAACTCTTTTCTTCTTTTATCCACTAGCAAACCATCCGGCAGTTGCGCGCCACGAGAGTTCACAGATGCTACAATATTTATAAAACATATTTTCGACGGCGATATACTCTACGACGCACGCAAGTTTGTGTGCAGCCCTCCGATACTCTGAAATCCGCAACCCCACCATCGATCGACCCCTCCCTCTGTCGCGCGACACACAAGATAAACAAAATGTCCAGCCGCCAGTTGCGCAAGCTGCAGAAGCAGCGTGAACTGGAGGAAGCTTTGAAGAAGCAGACTCTCGAATCAGAGCAAGCCGAAGAAAGTGAAGAAGAGCCCGTACCCGTAGCGAGACCGAAACCCAACCTCTTTGCTGCCCTTGGCGGCGAGGATGACGATGCGGATGCTGAGGCAGAGGAAGATGACGACGATACGCACGGCGCTATGACAGAACCCGCGGTCAGCGAACAAACACCATCAGCTATGGCAAAAAAGAGTAAAAAGAAGAAGAAGAAGAGCAAGAAAAAGGCAACCGCAGTGGTGGCAGCGGAGGACGAGGACGAGATTGACAAGGCAATTCATGCGCTCAACCCTGTCAGCATTGAACAACATGAGTGTGATTCAGACGACTTGAATGTGCGCCGCGCTTTAATGTTGAATAAAATCTTCCAGATCAACACACAGAACCTCCGCGTCATAAACGAGATGCGCAGCCTGTTTGGCCGCGAGGTCATCGAGTCGGCCGACGCCGAGGAGGAACGACAGCACCAGGAGGTCCGGCGCGGACGCGGCACTCAGGGCCAGCAGGTTGACCTGGAGACGTTTCTGCGCTCGCAACCGCCCAACGCCAAGAAGCTGCCCGAGGTGTCGCGGCGGCGCAATGTCTTTGTGCAGGGGCGCGACCACTGGCCGGCGGCGTCGGCCAACGGCCTGACGATGCGGGAGACGCGGCGTTCCCCGGATGAGGTGCGGTGGGTAGAGTACGCGTGGCATCACGAGGGTGAATACGACCAGCTGCAGGCGCTCTTCTTCGCGGTCGTGCAGGAGGGCCAGCCGATGCGAATGGTCAGCTTTGTCGCGCGCCTGCCCTACCACGTATCGACGCTGATGCAGGTAAGCTTCATCGCCAAGCAGGACCAGAACATGGCGTTGTCAGGGGAGCTGTGCGAGCGCGCCCTGTTCACGCTGGGCCGCGTCACGACGTCGGCGTTTCGCCGGGACCTCGAGCAAGGGCGCGCGCGCCTCGACTTTTGCCGCCCGGAGAACCGGCAGTTTTGGCTCGCCGGATACCACTATCTGCGTAGCCTGCTGCGCAAAGGCACATACCGCACGGCGCTCGAGTGGGCCAAGGTCTTGTACATTCTGGACCCGCGTGACCCGTACGCGATCCGGCACTATCTGCACTTTTTGGCGGTGCGCGCACATCAGCCCCAGTGGCTGCTCGAGTTTCTGGAGTACGTGCAAGGAGACAAGTCTACTATGCGAGAGGATATCAAATATGTCAAGCAGAGTGGGATCCTAGCTAGGCTACAAATGGGCGAGACGGAGACGGCCGGGAAAGAGCTCGCTGAGGGCATGCAGACGGTGCCGTGGCTGTACTGCGCGCTCTTCCAAGAACTTGGCCTGGATGCGCCGCCGTCCATTTGGGGCACCTACGTCGAGAGCTCTGAGGAGGACGAGCGCAAGTTTTGGATCAAGCTGTACCTGCACTTTGCCAAGGACCTGTGGAACAACACGCAGGCGATGGCGCTGCTCACTGACGTAGCCGGGCGTCTGGAAAAGGTCCGCGTCATGGACCTGCCCCGGACGGACGCGGAGCCCGGGCTCGACGCCACGCGGCTTGCCTACCTCGAGGGCCAGACGAGCATCTTGGCCGTGGCGCCGCGGGCGCTTCTGCAGCGCCAACCTAACTACGACTTTGACCCCATGCCGCCGACTTTTGAGGAGAATGTATTTGACTACCCGGCGGGCAAGCTGCCGTGGGCGGACCAGGACCCCGATGAGGGCTGGACGACAGCGTATCTGCAACGCATACAAAATGATATCAGGGCGCGGGGCGGCGGCGGCGGCGGCGGCAACGGCCAGCGGATTCGAGGGCTTGGTGTGGGCGGGCAGCAGTTTGAGGGCGAAGAATCAGACTACGACGACGTGACAGACGAGGAGCTCCGGCGGGACTTGGAAGAGCATGCACGCAGGAGCAACGCACCGGGCTACCTCGGCCAGCTGATGCAGATGCTGGGCTTGGGTGGTGGCGGCGGTTCCGCGGCGCAGGGCGGCGAGGATGAGGCGGCTGGTGTGGAAGAGCAGGGCGACGACATGCCAGGGGCCTGGCGACAATAGATGAAAGTGGGGTGAGAGGGACTTTTCATAGTTGAAGGATATCACCGTTTTGAGAGATGGCACATACTAGCATGCATGTCTCGTTGTTATTTAGAAAAGGGAGCGGCAGATGGGGAGATTATGTTGATTATGCTGATCAAGCAAAGGAAAAATTCACAAGAGATTCATTGGGTATTGGTATTTCTGCATGGAGATTGGCTGAGGAATATGCCCTAATCGAGATGGTCAGCGCCACCACCAGCGGCCTCGGAGTTTTTGGCGAGCACTCAATCTAGGTTAGGTGCCTTATAATTTAGGTACCTAGTTAACCTGGCATATCGGAAGCGGCGCTCGCGTAGGCCGGTTCTGTTTCTCCAACCATGGATTCTTTGATTCAAATTTTTAGTGGTGGCGGTGGCACGATATATCGTGTCGTACGGTCAGTATGTACGGATACCACGGACCACTGACCAGTCAACTGGTTGGTTCAGGGTACCCCGGCTCCGAGGGAGGATATGCCGGGTGGCGGTGGGCGCCGGCGGGATGATTCGGCCGATTTGTATCCGTAACTTGTCATGGTATCCGTATTAACTACAATTACTGAGCAAGAGAAACACACGCCCTCTGCTTTCCTTCGTCAGGACCGGATCAACTGCATCCATCACCTGACATTTGCCGACTTGCCTCGCAGACCCTTTTTTTTTCTTCCTTTTCCTCCTCTTCGGCAGTGGTCGTTGCGCAGAAATGAAGCCACACCACGCTTCGGCTCCGGTGAGGGGGGAGGATATGTACTCGTCCATCTACCGGCATGATGCGGCGGGCTTTATCTTTTTTGCTTGCTTTGCAGGCCCCATGTATATGTGATGAGAAGTTGTCTAGCCCGGCTATTGAGGAGTGAGTTGAGACATTGGCGGAAGCGGGGATCCGACATTTCCTTCTTTTTGCGTGCCGCGGCTATGAAAGGAAGAAAGCCGTTGGGACCTGAGGTGACGCCGCGACAAGGGCCATCCGCCCGGGGGGGATGGTGTGCGCCAAGTAATTACCTAGAAAACTGTCGAGATGCGAGATCAAGTATGCCCGAGAACCGGAGATCAGGAAAGTGTATAATAAAGGACTATTTTATACGCCGTAGCGGGCCTATGATAACAATTGGCAATTATAGCCTCTCTCTCCCTCTGCTTTTGTTGGTGGCGTGATGGCAAAAGAAAAAAAGGCCCTTTGTCGGGCAACGACCGAGAAGGATGGGGAGAGGGGGGAAAGGTGCCCTGGTACGGAGTACGGATAGACAGTCACAGATATCCCTGCAAAAACGGCGTTTGATGGACGCTGCCCACTCGGCCGGAAAGATGCGCCAGCTGATCTCCATGACCGTTTCTCAAGGGTCCTTGTGCACAGGGCTGCCTCTGGCGGTCCATCATTGGTGGTTGCGCTATTCGAGCTCTTCTGGGCTTGTGGGTTCACTGTTGGTAAGGTACTCTGTACTGGTAAAACAGAAGAAAAAGGGGAGAAAATAAAGAAAGAAAAAAGAAAAAAAAGGCGACGGGTTCTAGACTGCCACTGCCTGGTCGTTGGACTCGTGGCATGATGGGGTTGAAGCAAATGTGGCACCGCTCCAAGACAAAACAAACCATTGTGCCCCAGGCTTGGCGGAGATGGCACAAAGATGACGAAGGAGAAACTCGGACAGAAAGGAAATAGGGTGGGCTATGCAGCAAACCAGCTAGGTAACTAGTGGCGCAAGCACAGCTTTTGGCTTTGTCTGGAGCTCTGGCGGGTAGGTATGTACATGCCGGCACTCGTCTGACATGATTCCATGTCGACAGCCGCAAAGAGGAGCGGACTGAAGAAGCGGCGGGCCTGTGCGGATTTTGGTGGCGCCGGTTCGGGGCGATTACGCGCAGCGCGGCGGGCTACCCTCTCCAACTTGGGCGACCAAACGAAGACGAAGAAGAGAGCCAACGAAAAGAACCAGTGGAGGAGGAACAGACCCGGTTGCCCAACTTGCGTATTGTCACCGCCCTGTGCCCCCCCCCCCTCGCATCGCCAGCGGTCGAGTCAGTCTTCCATGTCCATGCGCCGGGCCAATAAAATTCATTATGCCTTCTCGGCCGAACCCGCTCCCTCTGCCTGTCATGACCAAACCTTTTCTCTCTTTCATGCCGGGCGTCATCTTGGGCGGGGTCATACGATGAACCCAAAAACTCTAATAGAGTACCTAGGTACGGCGTAGGTAGTGTTGACGTGGTATCATGCAGGGAGCCAGGTGTTTCGATATTCGCCGGCCGCGTATCCCTATATTATATCTTGTATCAACGACTCTTGATTAGCTTTTTGAATCACGCCGATGGCATACTCGGACCAGAAAGGGCCATCATCGTCGTGGCGCGAGGGAGGCTTCCGGGAGCTCACCGTCGGTGTGCTTGTTTGTTGGCCCTCTGGGTGACTCTGTCGGTGTCGGCTGGCCAGAGGCAGGCCCGGGGTCGGCTCCTCCCTAGTGCCATGTTGCCGTTGGCCTTGTCGCGATATCTCAACATGGTGCTATGCATCAACTGTGCCGTATTATATATATAGAATTGTGCAGTTGCATCCTGGAAAACCACCACAAGGCGTGTGTGCCTTTGCAACGCATCGGATCTGCCACCTGCCAGCTTTTAGCTTGCCAGCTGCAGGACGCCCGCTGCTCATCAAACGCGGGTCGCTGTTTGCTCCTTTTTCCTTTTCCTAGTACCTACAAGCTCCTTCACGATCCTTTCTGCTCCAATCTATCATCATATTTTATACCTAGGTATTCAAGCACCACTAGCAGCGCCAAAATAAACCAAGAAAACCGTCACCGCAGCCTCCAGCCCATCTGCGACAGACCCTAGACAGCGCCGTCACACGACCCGTCTGCACCGCACACAGGCTAATACGTACATAATACCAGCGAGTTACCAGGACGTCGTTGAGCTCCTGGTCCGGGATTTGGTGCCCAACCCTGGCACGGAACTTGCCATTCTGAACGCAAAAAGTTGGCTCACAATGATACCTGGTCACCATTCCGCCCAGGTCCCCAGGTCCCCGGTCGCTGCCATCGCTCCCCCGTTGCATTGCCTGCTTGCCGTCCGTCCGTTGCGCTCCGCCGTGGTGCCCACATTCACTCCTACGACAAAACCCACAACAACCTTAGGACAACACCACACCACCAACTCGGCACAAGGTCCAGCTAAAGTGTAAAAGACCTTATTAGCTCGACCCTTGCGGCGCCGACTGGGTTGCGTCGCACCTTCGGCCGAGTCGCGCGGACCGCCCGTTTTCTGACCCAGTCCAGCCCAACCAAAAGACGACCTGACAAGGCGCCCTGACAAGCTATTTCTCACTGAGACGTTACCGACTCGTCGCCGCCTCTTCTCCCGCAACAACACAACCTTCTTCTGTCGTCTCTGCCCTTTTTTTTGGTGTTGCGCGCGCCACTGAGCCTTGCGCAGGAAGCTTGCTGCCGCCGCCTTCACAGCAGCCCGGACTTTTTCTCCATCTTTCTTTTGGAGCAGCTTGGCACTGGGCTGGCAATAGTCTACCGCCCACCCAGCCATCATCTGACGGAATCGGGCCAATCGCCCGCACCCTCCCTTCCCTACCACGGCCACTGTTGCGTCAGAAATACCAACGGGCTGGCGCAATTCGCAAAAGCCCTTCATCTTTCCCCGAGCCCTCGCTGGTTGCAACTTACTTGCATTTCCCATCAGTCTCAATCGGCGACACCCAGCTGCTCGCCTTTGCTTGCGCATTCCCTCGCGCGTCATTACGGCATGTTCCATCGCCAACCTCTTCCAAATAACCCTGCACCCGAAGCAGCCCGATATTTCACCGAGCTTGTCTCACGAGCGTCTTTCTTTACAAAGTCTACGTCGTCGGCCCAATCACAATAATGGGTGCTGCGGGCCAGTTTGACGGCCTTCAGCAGCCCAAGCAGCAACCCGGGCCGCCGCTGCAGATACATTCTGTCCCTGCGCACGCCGCCTCATCCCAGTCGCCACGTCCGCAACAACAGCCGCCGCAACAACAGACGCAGCAACAGCAGCCCCCCGCGCCGCCGCAACCCCTGTCGCATCCCCATTCCCAGCAGCGCAGTGTCAAGCGCCCCCGACCGGTCAAGTCCTGTACGGAATGCCGCAAACGCAAGCTCCGATGCGACCGCCTCTGCCCTTGCTCGCAGTGCCAGAAATCGAATCGCGCCTGCAAATACTCAGCAGACGCAGACGGCCTGCCCGACTCAGACGTCTCTGACGTGGAATTGCCGGAGTCTGGCCGCCCTTCCAAGCGCAATTGCCCCCCAGGCACTACCCCTTCTGCGACATCTAATGCCGCCGACTCGAGCGCCCTTGCCGCCGCCGTCGCAGCCGCCAAGAACAGCGATGCATCTGGATTACCGCTCTTGGAAGAGCTTTCTTTGCGAATGGAGCGTCTGGAGAAGCAAGTCATGGTCCGCAGTCCAGCCGTCACAGACTTGAGTGCAGGCCGAGTCGCCGTGGCCACTGCAGATACAATTCGTGGGCTCAGCGTCAAGAATGGTGCCAAGCGGACTCGGTTTTTTGGACAAGCAAGCCCCAGGATCATGTTCAACTTGTTTGACGATGCCAAGTCATTCATTCATCAACACCGGAGTATCGCTGGCGGCCGCGAGGTCCTGTCCGATTTTCGCGCCGCCCACCATTTTATCCACGAAAACTACAACAAGGCTCTGACTCCGATTTCAGTCTATGTTGATTCCATGATGCCCGTTCAGAAGCGCATGACTGATATCCTGCCCGCAAAGGACGTTTGCGATCGGCTAGTCTCATCCTACGTGGACTCCTCCGAGACCATCTACCGTATTCTTCATATACCCTCATTTATGGAGCAATACAACCTGTATTGGAGTGGCAGACAGCAGTCCATATTCTTTTTACCCCAACTCTTGGCTGTTCTATCAACAGCGTCTCGCTTCGAAACGAAATCTAAAGGAATTCTGCACGAGAGAGTCGATGGGGTGCACAACCCTACCAGCTGCGCCTTGGTTCGCAGCTGGCTGGATAGCCTGAAAGGCAAAGAACGTGTCGAGTTTGAATCTTTGCAGGTCGAAGTACTACTCCTGCATGCCCAGCGGATGGTGACGCAACGGACCAATGAATTGTGGGCGCAACTCGGTTACATTGTACGGAATGCCATGTCTATGGGCCTGCATCGCGATCCCTCCGAGTTTGGGCCTCGCATGTCTGTCTTCCAAGGCGAGCTTCGCAGGCGACTCTGGTTCACCATTATGGACATTGATGTGCATTTGTCGATTGCTCTGAATATGCCCACCACAGTGCGGGAAGGCGATTTTACCTGTCGGGCGCCCCGGAATCTAGACGACTTGGATCTTTTTGAAGGCATGAGAGAACTGCCACCGTCCAAGCCGATTGATCAGATTACGGACAACCAGCTGCAGGTGTACGGCGCAATGACACTACCAACCCGCATGAAAGTAGCTCATTTGGTGAATACTATTGACTCGATCAGGGACTATCAAGAAGTCCTGGATGTGGGCATCAAGCTGGACAGTTTACTCGAAGATATCAACTATCTGTTTCCGCGCCAAGGCATACTCAACGACACACAAAAGAGCAAGATGTGGAGGTCACGCGTCATTCTTGATATGCATGCGAGACGACCACTTCTTGCACTATATCGCAGCTTAGCTATGGGAACACCAGACGCCCCTCCCCAGATTACACGTGCGCACCTGCGATCATCCATGGTGATTCTCAAATACCTGGATGAAATTGACCCGCGTCAGCCGTATTTCGAAATTATTACCGCCATGTACCACCAAATGCTGAAGCATGATATTGTGCAAGCGGCCCTCAGCGTCTGCTACTACATCCAAGCAGCCCACCGAAGTTCGGAGAACATGATGGGTGCTCATCCACGCCAGTCACCGGAATACGGCGTCGACGACTATCCGCTCTATAAGCCAGAAACGACGCTGTCCATTTGGTCACCAGAGCGCATGGTTAGCACGGTGGAAAAGTCTCTTGAAATCCTCACGCGACATAGCAGCGGCAATGATACGAAAGATTTGTTGACGCTGGCGCTCGTTTTGGAAACAGTGAGGAAGCCGGAATTGCGGGCCGACGAGGTCGTGCGCGGTCTGTACAGCGTGTTGGATCTGCTGCTTCGCTCGTCCAACACGACGCTGGAAAAGGTGCGCTCGGTGCCGCAGACACAGGAACGATATGGGTCTGACGGGTATGCGCATGACCATGCACACATGAGCAATCCGGCGGCAACGGCGGCAGATTTCGGCGGCTGGCTCATCTGGGACGGATGGGACTAGCTCGGCGTAGTAAAATTGTTTGTATTGGATTGTGAAAACTGGGGGGCCATGTCATGCACTGGACTGTGCTGGGGCGTTTGGATATACTCGCATATATGGGAGCTGGTGTTATTTGGTGATGAATGTAAATGATGGTGATTGGACGACAAGGTATCCGTTTACGCCTACCATGTGATCTTGTTAGATGTTGATCTATTGTATGCTTATGGAAACTGCGGGTCTACCTATGTTTTGGGACTGCATTGAAGAAGAAAACGAGGCTGTATTGGGACGAGTTTGTCAATCATGAAGATGAAAGGAGTCATTGCATTTATGCCAACATATATTTAATTATCTACCATCTCTAATGAAGCAAAACTGTACAACCGTCTTATACCATGACCGATGAGCGAAATTTAGTTGACAAGCACCGGCGACGTGCCATCCCACGTATCCTGCTCAGCGGCCATAACCATCCACCGCGCCAGACTCTGCCTCGTCAGCGCATCCATGAGACGCAAGCCCTCGCCATTCTCGGGCAGAACCCTGACCGGCAGCGCCCCTTCGGCGCCCTCTTCCCCTTGCTCCGTCAAGCGGCCCGCGCGCGCCAAGACGAACCGGCCCCGTGCCTCCCGCCGCACCAGTCCGTCCACCGCGGCGTGATCCGCCACGCCGAAGCGCATCGGAGTGTGGCTGAACAGGACGCGAAGCGGCCAGGCCAGGGCGTGCCACGAGTCGCCGACACCGAGCGCCGAGTTGATGACCAGCTTGGGGGGTGCATCGGCGGCGGGCAGCGCGGCGAGGAGGGTGCGCGCTGCGTGCGAGAGGAAGTCGGGGGCGGTGTCGGGGCGGAGCGGCGCAAACGGGCTGTCGCCGGTGCGCGGCAGGCTCAGCGTGAAGAGCACGGCGTGGGCGCGGCGCGGGGTGGCGAGGGCGTGGGCGACGTCGCGCTGCGAGAGGGGTGAGCCGTGCAGGACGGTGAGGTTGGCGCGGGCTGGTAGTGAGGAGGAGGAGGAAGGGCGGACGAGGGCGGTGACGGTGTGGCCGCGCTCAAGGGCGGCGGCGATGGCGAGGGAGCCGTTGCGGCCGCTGCCTCCGGTGATGTAAATGTGCATGGTGCGGTGGGAATGGACTGTGAAGTTGTGTGTACAAGTGGTGGTGGTGAGACGGATTGGATCGAGGTGATGAATTAATTGGATTGATCTTTACAAAGTAGCTGGACTGTATATATACATGATTTGGAAAATTCTAGTCGTGGTTTGGCTTGCGAATGCATTACTGGGGATCGGACAGTTTGTTGCTGGTTGGCCATGGACTCGGCCGGTAGAAAACACTGGTGATGCTAGGTTATGGTGTTGAAGGCAGTTGCGACTCGGCCGATCTAGTCGGGCACAGTTGTGCCGCCCGTCAGCGCTGACCAATGTTGAGTTCAGCGACATTTGTAAGATGGAAAAAAAATACGGACAGTGCAGTACCCATCTTGGCAAGTTGAAAAAAAAAAAATTGTTTGATTGGGGGTTTTTTTTGCAAGGAGTATTCCCATGGAACTCTGGAAGGAAGTTCGTTCTCATCAGGCCACCCACCCACTACAAAGCATGCAGCCGCCAGGACGGGTTTCCTGGGGCGGCTGATGAACCGGACCTCGGCAGCGGATGGCACAGTGAAGGCAGGTACTGTGGCAGATGCCTACGTCGCAGTTCGCTGGTCGCCACCACGGCTATATAAACGGGGGGTGGTAGTCATCACGCCTGATGAACGAGGGAAAAAAAAGAACAAGTTCTATTTGATTGAGAAGAAATGAAATATAACAAAACTGGTCGTGGTTGACTTGTGCATTCATTCACATGACGTTTGACTGGCGGCTTTTGACCTGCTTCCGTCTGGGCTCGCGAAGACCAAGGCGGCTATATGCTCCCCAGAGCACGTTGTAGGGCCACCCTCGGCGAATGCCCCAACCCAGTCCAGGTGGCTAGGTACTAACTTATTAGTACCAGGTACTAACGACGACGCTAGAGCCAGTGCGGGGAGACGAAGGAAACTCCATGGGCAGAAACGTGGTGGCTGTTATTTGTTACGTCGCTGGATGGCAGCAAGGCGTGGGAGGTCCCTGACGAGGACATTGTTTTTGCAACATGTCAACATGATGTACATACAAAATATTCAAGTACAATACAATCTATAAATACAGTCAAAAATCATCCAAACTCAGAACAAACGGCATCCATTTACATCTGAAAGTCTCCACCAGAGCTTGGTCGTCCCGGGGCCCCGCGCTAGTGACAAGTCGTACAGCCAGACAGCCAGACAGCCAGACAGCCAGCCCATGTTCCGTTTGCCGTCGCCCCCATGATGGCTTCCGAGGCTAACTCTGCCGACTTGATATATATCCCCATCCTGGCCCTTGCTTCTTCTCGCCCTTTTCTTTCTTCTCATTTCCATCAACCCTTTTTTCCCACATCTCTCGCAACATCTCGTCTTCCCCCTATACCCCTCTCCTCTCTCCCACAAACAACCACAACACAACCCACCCACGCCACCCATCATGCCTCGCCCACTCGCCCCCGTCTACATCCTCGGTGTGGGCATGACCAAGTTCATCAAGCCCCGCGGCAACGTCGACTACACCGAGCTCGGCTTCGAGGCCGGCGTCAAGGCGCTGCTCGATGCCCACATCACCTACGACGACGTCGACCAGGGCGTGGCCTGCTACTGCTACGGCGACTCTACCTGCGGCCAGCGCGTCTTCTACCAGTTCGGCATGACCAAGGTGCCCATCTACAACGTCAACAACAACTGCGCCACCGGCAGCACCGGCCTCGCCATGGGCCGCACCTTTGTCGCCTCGGGCGCCGCCGACTGCGTCCTCGTCGTCGGCTTCGAGAAGATGATGGCCGGCTCGCTGCAGTCCTTCTTCAATGACCGCGAGAACCCGCTCGGCACCACCGTCAACATGATGGTCGAGACCCGCGGCTTCGAGCCCGCCCCCGGCGCGCCCCAGATGTTTGGCAACGGCGGCCGCGAGTACAAGGAAAAGTTTGGCGCCACCAATGAGGATTTCGCCGAGATTGCCCGCGTCAACCACGCCCACTCCCCCAACAACCCCTACTCGCAGTTCCAGCAGGTCTACACCCAGGAGCAGATCCTCAAGTCGCCCATGATCTTCGACCCCCTCACCAAGCTGCAGTGCTGCCCGACCTCCGACGGCGGCGCCGCTGCCGTGCTCGTCTCCCAGGAATTCCTCGACGCCCGCCCGCACCTCAAGAGCCAGGCCGTCCTCATCGCTGGCCAGTGCCTCGCCACCGACGCGCCGTCGCTCTTCTCCAAGAGCTCCATCGACCTGCTCGGCTTCGAGATGACGCAGTACGCCAAGGATGTCGCCTTCAAGCAGGCCGGCATCACGGCCGCTGACGTCAAGGTCGTCGAGCTGCACGACTGCTTCTCGGCCAACGAGATGCTCGTCCTCGACGCTCTCGGCCTCTGCGAGCACGGCAAGGCCCACGAAATGGTCCGCCGCGGCGACATCACCTACGGCGGCAAGTACCTCGTCAACCCCTCGGGCGGCCTCATCTCCAAGGGTCACCCCCTCGGCGCCACCGGCATCGCTCAGGCCGCCGAGCTCGTCTGGCACCTGCGCGGCTGGGCCAACAACCGCGAGGTCCCCGACACAAAGTACGCCCTCCAGCACAACCTCGGCCTCGGCGGCGCCGTCGTCGTCAGCGTCCTCGCCCGCGCCGACGGCAAGGCCGCCCCCAAGCTCTCCAACCAGGAAGTCGGCAAGATCAACGGCCTCGGCTACAACCCCGCCACAGAAGCCAAGGGCTTCACCGCCGCCCAGGCCACCTCGGTCCGCTCCAAGAAGCACTCGAGCGCCTGGGCCCTGCAGGATACCGAGGAAAAGGTCACTGCCAACTTTTAAGCGTCTTGCTTGTGCTAGCGTAGCAAGTTGAAAAATTGGAGATTTGAAAGGGCAGTACTTTCCTTTGTATAGTGAGCGGCTGCGGTTAAATCATGTACACCATATATAGTTGAATGAAACTTGATGACTTTTATTAATTGTAAAAAATTTGATGACTATTCTATTTTCTGACCTTTTTATGGCTTTTTTACTTTATGACTCTTTTACTCGGACAATCGGTATCTCTGGTACTCATCACATTATTATTATCTCCCCAAACTAACAATCGAGTACATCACCGGAATAGGTAGCTATCCCAGGTGGACGGCCACACCGGAGAACCCCAAGCTTGAAAGTCCTGCGGGAGACAGTTATCTAGCTCTGCGGAAAAGTCAAGACCGAGATCCGTGCCAAAGAGAAACGCGTCCGTCTCGGCGGGAGCATCTTCCTGGCTGTTGGCCGTCCAATCTTGCGCCACCAGCTGCGCTTGGGGCTCCAACGAGGCACTGCTGGTCGGCCCCGCGTCGCAGCCTCCATTCAGCGACAAGTCGTGCACCTCAAAGCCCGCCGCATCATCCTTTTCCGCGGCCCGGCGCACCTCCTGAATCCGCTTCTGCAGCCGCCGCGCCGAGGCTGACACGCCGGCATACCGTTCCGTCAAGCCGGCGGCGTCCTGCAGACAGCGGCGCATGGTGGCGTCGAACCCGGGCGGCACGTACCCGGCCAGCGCGGGCCGGTGATCGCGCACGTAGCCCGTGAGCAGGAAGACGAGCGCGCAGATGGAGTTGAGCAGGTGCTGGTAGTACGGCCAGTGGCGGCCAAACACGGACGCAGCGCCGTCCAGCGCCGCCAGCGCGCCAATCGCGCGCGCCA